CTAACATCAGCATATAACTCTAGCCATATAAGGACAAAACCCCCGAATCCACATTCCAGAGCTCTCGGACAAAGAAAGCCTTGTGACTTATTGATACCATCTGTTACTTATGTCAATCCACACATCCATATATATAATCAATAGAAACATAGAATATGCAATATTCTACGTTCCCCTCATTCGAATGAACAAAAGTACCGAACAGCGCTCTTCTAGCTGTTCGGGAAATAAAGATCCAGTGTTCGTATGTTGAGACCAGTGTTCGTGAAGTTGAGTGTCCGATTTTAGTTCCAGACACTCGACGACCAACGCCCACTGCCTTTGTTCGCATAAAAAAAAGATAGCTGCCATTTTCTCAGCCACGTGGCGTTCGGTAGTACGAACGACGGCTGCACAGGTAGAGGGTTCAGTTGAGGCATGCTTTGAACTTTAATGAGCCAGGGGGTGGTCTCTGTTCGGTAGTTACATCTACTGAATGAACAGGGGAGAAATACTGAACATAAAGAGGAATTTCTTCACAGTGTGCAAAAGCTATGCTAGAAAAATAAGTTCCATTGGCTTTATCCTTAATTTTTGGATTCATTGTTTCCAGGTCAAAGGATGTAAGGTGTAATGCAAACAATAGAATGTATTTACACTGAGCACTTTGCCCTAGAATAGCACTTTTTTGCCTTGAAAAATATTGTTCATTTTATAGAATATTATGAAAAATACATGTTCCATTAGACTTGTGTTTAATATTAAAAAAAAAAAAAAAAATTTCAGGGATTTATTCTTTGTGGGATAAGGTGCAGTGTCTGGATGCAGTTTTTGTAAGTCACTAGCTATTAATGCGAGTTAGAGATTACAAATTTGAGTCAGTGACTGTGAGTTTGAACCCTGATTGTAAGTCTGACTCAATGATTGTAAGTGTAAGCCTATGTTGTTAAGTCTGAGCTAGTGTCATTGTAAGTGTGAGCCAGTGACTTGTAAGTGTAACCCAGGCATTGTGTGAACCAGTAACTTCTGAGTCAGTGACTAAATATGACCTAGTGATTATAACTGTGAGACATGACTGTGAGTTTGCCCCAAAATAAAGAACCATTCACACACAAAAAAAAATACATGACTGTTAACTCCTTCGATCTCCTAATCTTGTTACCCTTTCCAATAAATAACCAACATCATGTAAAGTGGGTAAGGGCAATCGACACAGCTTTATTTAAACCAGCACATCCAAATACTGTCAGCTGCTGCTTTTACCCAGCACACAGCTAAGCTTTGAACCTTTTCCCGAGCCTCTTCAGCCTGTCCTTCACGAACAACCAAATTCAGGCTGCAACTCCCCAAGCAGTCCTGGCAGTATTAATTTACCAAACTAGCTAGCACTGGAAACCTGCACCTGTGGCAAAAATAAAATCAAAGAAAAATACAAAACAACAATTCTAGAACAGAACAAATCTGGAGGATGGGCAGGGAAAGACACAGCCGTGTTCACCAGTAGTCTGGTAAGCTTCCAAGAATTCCCTGCTTCCAACTGTCAAACTAACTTTATCCCTTTCTATGCCAACCTCTCAGGGCAGATGTCATGGTCTTCCCTTCCTATTCACTTCGGGGGTTGGCCTTGACTGCCGACTCGTTTGATCACCAAATCCCGTAAGCCTTCCCAATAAATAGCCGACACCATGTAAAGCATGTAAAGGCAACAGCCACAGCTTTATTTGAACTAGCATTACCAAATACTGTCAGCTGCTAGTTTTACCCAGCAAACGGCTAAAATTTGAACTTCTTCCTGAGCATCTTCAGGAAGAAGTTGTCATCAACCAAATTCAGGCTACGACTCCCCAAGCCTGTCCAGGCATTATTCATTTACAAAAAGTGCTGGCACAGGAAACCTGCCACCGCTGACTCCACCCCTACTAAGTGGGGGGGATGTGTACCCCCAGAGCCAGCACCTGTTCAATTACTGATTGTTTTAAGGAGGATGTTCTTTGGTGTGAAAATTAAGTTGAATTTCTTATTATAACAGTCTAAATCTGTTCAAATGGGTAGTGGTAGATTGATTAGGATTGGAGCCACTAATGGCACCAGTGGGTCATTATATGGAAGTTCAACCGCACTGTCCCAGTGTTTCTAAATGTGAGCCAGTGATTATTAACGTGAGCCAGTTATGGCAAGTTAGCACTAGTGATACATTTAAGCCAAAGGCTATAAGAAAAAGATAGTGATTATACATGTGAGCCAGAAATTGTAAGCTACAGCCAGTGATAATAAGTGTAAGCCAGTGATTATACATGTGAGCCAGAGATGGCAAGTTATAATCAGTGATAATAATTGTGAGCCGGCGATGGCAAGTTTTAACCAGTGATAATAATTGTGAGCCAGTGATAAGTGTGAGCTGGTCATGGTAAGTTGTAGCCAGTGATAATAACTGTGAGCCAGTGATGGCAAGTTATAGCCAGTGATAATAAATGTGAGCCAGTGATGGCAAGGTATAGCCAGTGATAATAAGTGTGAGCTGGTGATGGTAAGTTATAGCCAGTGATAATAATTGTGAGCCAGTGATAAGTGTGAGCCAGCGATGCCAAGTTATAGCCAGAGATTTGACATGTAAGGCAGTGATGACAAGTTACAGCCAGTGATAATTAGTGTGAGCCAGAGATGGAAAGTTATAGCCAGTGATAATAATTGTGAGACAGTGATAATAAGTGTGAGACAGTGATGGCAAGCTATAGCCAGTGATAATAAGTGATCATCACAGTGATAATAAGTGATCATCACAGACAGTGATGATAATTGTGAGCCAGTGATAATAATTGTGAGCCAGTGATGATAATTGTGAGCCAGTGATAAAAAGTGTGAGCCAGTGTTAATAATTGTGAGCCAGTGATGGCAAGTTATAGCCAGTGATAATAAGTGTGAGCTGGTGATAGTAAGTTATAGCCAGTGATAATAATTGTGAGCCAGAGATGGCAAGTTTTAGCCAGTGATAATAATTGTGAGCCAGTGATGGCAGGTTATAGCCAGTGATAATAATTGTGAGACAGTGATAATAAGTCTGAGACAGTGATGGCAAGTTATAGCCAGTGATAATAAGTGTGAACTGGTGATGGTAAGTTATAGCCAGTGATAATAATTGTGAGCCAGTGATAAGTATGAGCCAGTGATGGCAAGTTATAGCCAGAGATTTGACACGTGAGACATTGATGACAAGTTACAGCCAGTGATAATTAGTGTGAGCCAGCGATGGCAAGTTATATCCAGTGATAATAATTGTGAGCCAGTGATGGCAAGTTATAGCCAGAGATTTGACATGTGAGACAGTGATGACAAGTTACAGCCAGTGATAATAAGTGTGAGCTGGTGATGGTAAGTTATAGCCAGTGATAATAATTGTGAGCCAGAGATGGCAAGTTATAATCAGTGATAATAATTGTGAGCCAGTGATGGCAAGTTATAGCCAGAGATTTGACATGTGAGACAGTGATGACAAGTTACAGCCAATGATGGCAAGTTATAGCCAGTGATAATAAGTGTGAGCCAGTGATGGCAAGTTATAGTCAGTGACAATCAGTGTGAGCTGGTGATGGTAAGTTATAGCCAGTGATAATAATTGTGAGCCAGCGATGGCAAGTTATAGCCAGAGATTTGACATGTGAGACAGTGATGACTAGTTATAGCCAGTGATAATAATTGTGAGCCAGAGATGGCAAGTTATAATCAGTGATAATAATTGTGAGCTGGCGATGGCAAGTTATAGCCAGTGATAATAATTGTGAGCCAGTGATAATAATTGTGAGACAGTGATAATAAGTCTGAGACAGTGATGGCAAGTTATAGCCAGTGATAATAAGTGTGAACTGGTGATGGTAAGTTATAGCCAGTGATAATTAGTGTGAGCCAGCGATGGCAAGTTATAGCCAGAGATTTGACACGTGAGACAGTGATGACAAGTTACAGCCAGTGATAATTAGTGTGAGCCAGCGATGGCAAGTTATATCCAGTGATAATAATTGTGAGCCAGTGATGGCAAGTTATAGCCAGAGATTTGACATGTGAGACAGTGATGACAAGTTACAGCCAGTGATAATAAGTGTGAGCTGGTGATGGTAAGTTATAGCCAGTGATAATAATTGTGGGCCAGAGATGGCAAGTTATAATCAGTGATAATAATTGTGAGCTGGCGATGGCAAGTTATAGCCAGTGATAATAATTGTGAGCCAGTGATGATAATTGTGAGCCAGTGATAATAAGTGTGAGCCAGTGTTAATAATTGTGAGCCAGTGATGGCAAGTTATAGCCAGTGATAATAAATGTGAGCTAGTGATGGCAAGGTATAGCCAGTGATAATACGTGTGAGCCAGTGATAAGTGTGAGCCAGCGATGGCAAGTTATAGCCAGAGATTTGACATGTGAGACAGTGATGACAAGTTACAGCCAGTTATAATAATTGTGAGCCAGCGATGGCAAGTTATAGTCAGTGATAATAAGTGTGAGACAGTGAGGACAAGTTACAGCCAGTGATAATAAGTGTGAGACAGTGATGACAAGTTACAGCCAAAGATGGCAAGTTATAGCCAGTGATAATAAGTGTGAGCCAGTGATAGCAAGTTATAGCCAGAGATTTGACATGTGAGACAGTGATGACAAGTTACAGCCAATGATGGCAAGTTACAGCCAATGATGGCAAGTTATAGCCAGTGACAGTAAGTGTGATCCTGTGATGATTATTGTAGTGGGTGCACAGCCAGCACTTTGCCAGTTGGGTAACCCCTCTCTCTCTGTGTGTGTCTCCACACTTTGAGCACCTGGCTCCGAGCACCCAGCTGAGCACAGCCAGCTCCAAGGCAGCCACTGCAAGGCCCGCCCCTTCCCCCCATCATCATTAGCAAATATTACCCTAAACACTTGCTCTTTACCTCCCTTCTCCCTCCAGGCATTGGCGAGGCCGGCTGTCAATCACGCGGCACCCCTGCACGGCTCAGCAGCAGCAGCAGCGCTACAGCGGCGACAAGGAGGCAGCCGGAGCCCAGGGAAGGGAAGGGGAAAGCCAGCACCCGCCGAGAGATGGAGGAGGAGATGCAGCCAGCAGAGGAGGGGCCCTGCATCCCCAAAATCTACAAACAGAGGAGCCCCTACAGCGTCCTCAAAACCTTCCCCAGCAAGAGGTCCATGGGGCTGGCCAGGAGGTACGACAGACCCACCATGGTGGAGATCCCACATCTGGGGGCACCTGCAGGGCAGCAGCAGCACCAAGCACACTTTCAGCACCATCCAGCCTCCATCAGCAACAGTGATCACCATCAGCAGCATTATCAGCAGGCTCACAGCTCCTACCAGAATGGGCCCACCAGGACAGCCACAGCCACCTCCTCCTCCCAGTGCCAGCAGAGGGGAGGTGCCCCAGCTGGGCACCAGGGCTCCAACAACAGGTTCTGCCAGCAGCCGGCCAGCCAGGGCTCCATTGAACTCAGTGCAGGTAGGTACCTCCCACCCCTGCCAGCTCACACTGGCCAATCCACACCCACTTACCTCCTGTCCTCCAGGAACTCACTCACCATCTGCCCTCCAGGAACTCACTCACCTCCAGGAGTCCATTGGTATTGAAAGTGTCTGACACCCTCTGGGGTCAGGGTATATTATTGGGGAACTCTTTGTAGGTCATGGGATACCCCTATTCAGGGTCACTGCTGGTAGCAAGAGTCCCTTGGACGTGGAGATCTCCCTTTAAACTTCTGCTACTCAGTATCAAGGCATCTCTTTTTTTTTTTTGCCCAACATCACTTTCAGTTTACTAAAGTTTCCACTTTTACTTATTTTGGAATGCTGTGTTGGAGACGTGTAATACCAATGCAGTTGGTTTACATTCATTAACAGCCGTCCTTGTTTATGGAACCCTCATAACTAATATAAGTCTACATACAATAAGTGTCATTGCATCCTTAGTGTAATCACTGTCATTTGTGTTCGTGTGTTGCTGCCCTTTCATTTTAGCTTCCTGGTCTTCCTCAGTCTGCTTAATTTTTCCCATCAAATGTGCTTGCTCACCAGATAATGTGCATTCAGTATCCTGTCGATATAGATGCACATATAATAGCAAAATAATAAAGTATTGTCAGCAATTGCTAATTTGTGAATTAAGGTGCATGAAACATCTGATAATTTTAAGCAAGATTCTTCTACTACTGGAGTCCTTAAAAATGGCTTGGCCTACTAAAGAATTTGAATTAAAGTTTGTTAACCCTTGTTTTACTGACGGTTGTATATAACATGCAATGAGTCAAAAGGTGAATTAACTAATTTGCACAGGTAAGGACTTTTCTTCAGGAGTTTTAGGTTCTTACAAAATAATGTATAACTGAATACAGATCCCAATGTACTGTTGTTTTGGAATGTGTTTATGAATATACTAAATGTAATGTGTTAAACTACAAATATACAGTTATACATCAGTAACAGCCATAACCAGACATTGATTCTTATCAGTATGAGAATAGGAGTTTACATGTACATGAAATGAACCCTGGTTTAGTCAGTTTGTTCTGGTATAAACTACTACATGGTCACAACGTCTGTTCCGCGGGATTTATACCCTACAAACCAAATTGTTGTGAAATTTAGGCTAAAAAAGTGAAATAATTGTAAAAAAAAAAAACCTCATAGTCTGCTATAGCCACACTTTTTGATATTTTAGGCTCAATTTTATAATTTCAATTTGCGATTAACTAAAATTCTTTGTTTAGTGACCAAACCCTTATGTATTATCAGACTTTAATTGTGCTATCAGCCTTGTGTACAGCTGCAAGTTTGAACTTGAAAGAATGTTGTTTTGACAAAGAATTGCTTAATTGTATGTTATCATGATATTGCTCCTCTCCATTTTTAATTTTCTTTTTTTTTTTTTTTTTTATGTTTGATGAGTACTTAATCGAAATATTGCCCAAGCTTAGGAACTTTTTAACCATTGTCCATCATTTGTGCCCAGTTATTCCAAAAGTGAAATAAGCCAGATTTCTAAGATGCAGATCAATAGATTTCAGTACTATACACCCAAGCACATTCACCCAAGTAGAATTCACCAAAAACTATTTTTTCCCAGTTTGGGTTTCATGGCTTAACATTGTTCAATTCTTGTATTAATGGTCTATATCTCACAGGTTTCATGAATAAGCTCCCCTATTGATATTATGCCCATATAGGTTATAGTAAAGAATAAGTGATGGGATTCTCCTTTGAATGGGAGTCATAACACCAAAATAAAACATGGATAAATCACTTTTAACTTGCTGCATTTTATTTAAAATTTATTTAAAGGAACACTATAGCGTTAGGAATGCAAACATGTTCTCCTCACTACTTAGTATTTCTGTCTAAGTGTATTAGTTACCTTATATCCTGCTTATATATCTCCACTGCCGCCCTGCCTGTCTTGATGACCTCAGCCAATCCAGTGCTTCTCCTTAGAGATACATTAAAAGGTTATTCCACATGCGTGGCAAATGCTACTCTGCATCAATTATATTTTCCAATGAGCATTGGATTGAATATCCAAATCTCACTTTAGTGTCAGGAAGACAACCACCAACTATGGAATAAAAACATTGCCAATTCCACATAAATGACAGGACCATTGCACCCAGACAACTTCATTTAAATGAAGTGGTCTTTGTGTCTGTGAATGACAATACAATCCAGTTCAGTGAAGGCACACCCAGGGCACACATTGCAAATGTGGATGAGAAATAAAATTATTGTTTAATTTTCCCTCTATATGCTTTCTCTTTTCTGAAAAGCAGTTTCAACGGCCAGATCTTATTACAATGATTGACAGGGAGCTATGATAGAGTGCCTAGTTGATTGATAAAGAGGTGCTGAGTCCTAGGTGATTAGTAAAAATTAAATATCCTGGAAGGGACAGTTTCGCTTTAATACCAGTCCTCTGCTTGTTTCACAAACGTTTATGTATGGCGCAAGCTGTGGCCTTAAACATATTTTAACTTAACCTTTCTTTATTATAGTGCACTATAATAGGTCTCCCATCTTTATTAGGCTAAGAAACCACCAAAAATTAGGTTCAAACTCACCTGGAATCTAGCGCCACGTGAGCATGTTCCACGGCCCGTCACTGTGCATCCTTGGTCCAATCGAATATTTTCATAGAGTAGCAATTGATAGGACATTTTAATGGCTCAGAACTCATGTCTGTGTTCTGAGCTGTTAAGGGAAAGAGTTGGGGTAGACAGAGGGACAGTTGGAGCTTTAAAAAACAAACAAAAAACATTAAGGGCATAGGGAGGCAGGGTTGCTGGGGGAAGAGGGATGTCAATTAAAGCAGCGAGAGAGGGGATATACATGCCTTCCCTTATAGACACTGCCTGCAAAGGATAAACTAATTATGCCCATTGCTAGTGTGCATATTTCTTGCACAGAATTGACATTTGGCAGTCTGGAGCGGAGTTCCATCTACCAAAGTGATGTGTGCTGCTGGTGCGACTATTCCCCGGCACAAAAGTGCAAATATAGAAACGCTGCAAATACAGACTCCTACCATCATGACCAGTTCTAAAACCAGAAGTGGACATGGTTGTTTTCTAGTAACACCTTTTATGGGCTGTTTTTAAGATATACCACAGAAAGGACAATTAGGAGATTGAGTACACAAATTTTTTTAGTATATATAATACAATTAGGTTTTATGAGGTTTTTAGAATATGTAAAGTATATAAATTATTCACAAAACGTTAAATTGCAGCAAAGTGAAATCTGAAAGGCAAAAATACAGCATAAATAGCTTTTTGGGGAAAAATTCACCAATGTAGCTACTGTTACATCTTGGGTTTTTAAGCCTGAATTTTGTCAATAAACCACGATAACAAATACTAAACCTATCTAACCTATCTATTTTGCTTAAGGTGTCAGTAAATCATAAGTAAATGCATATATTACTCACAGTCATGCCCGTAGACTTAATGTGTTTCTATGTACTGAAACACATCAAGGCTTTATTTATCATTAAATGATTGATTGCTAGGACTGAGCTAGAATGTTGCCCCATTATATACCTGGCAGAGAAGTGTGAGAGATGCACTGCCATCCATGACATTTACAGGCTTATACAATGAAATGATAATTTCCAAAAATTCAAGGGAAATTTCAAAATTTTAGGACAAAAATGCCAAAACAAATGTCTTGTCAGTTCTGTTTTCACTTACGCTATTTTGGTTGTACATTTAAAATCTTCTCTGAATTAATTTTGAATTAAAATTTCTGTCAATTCCCGCTTTAGTGAATGGGGTGCATGCCTAAAACATCCTCTCCAAAACAGGAGCATACCTATTTCCTTGTCCTCGCTTTTGGAGAGTACATCATCTTCTCTTTTCCACAGGGTACCAGAATATTATCAGGGTTGTTCATTAAACAAGTATTTGTTGGGATTTGGCTAGGGAATTATACCTCTAAAGCTAAAAATTTCCAACCTCAACTATTTTTTCTGCTTGTCTATTTTGGCCAATATTACAAATTCCATGGGCAATCCCCAGTTTTTTTAATTACCATGTCCTGCTCTCAAACCAGAATCCCAGATCCCTATTCCTCCCATTGGTAGAGTACACAACCATTCAGTTATCTGTAGTCCAGGAGAGGGCTGGCAAGGTGGGTATGGGGGCATTTCTGGTTGCGTCCTCACAGCATCTTACTAATCCTATTACGTAACTATATGTTTATTATTATTATTATTATTATTATTATTATTATTATTATTATTATTATAGAAGTCCACTTATTGCAGTATTAGTATAACATTCAGTATAAAATTAGGAAAAGGAATGGTATATGATGTGCCAATGTGATGCTTTGACCTCAACTTGACATTGTTTTTTCTAGCCCTCCCCCCGACCCCCTGCATGTAACCCTCCCCTGCTGTAGTCCAGCCTGGCACTGAATCATGCAATACCCTTGCAAGTGCCCATGAGCAAACCGGTCACAAGCAATGTTTCCAATGAATTTAAAAAAACAATACGTGGTCAATCCAGTGTATCCCACCAGCAACATCATTACAACCTCTTGTGCAAGTGGCTGCCAGTTCCTTTAATGCCTCTGACTTTTTTTTTTTTTTTTTTTTATCCTGAAAGCTTAACTCCAGACTGTGTTCCAATATAAAAACAATCAACAGATTAGTCCCAATGATTGGTCTGTGACATGCTGGTTTTCTAGACATTAGTCCGTTCCTTTGGACACATATTTTCCCCATATTGTACATGATTACTGAACCCTGACCCTGTGTGCCAGATGGATAGTTAAGAAGTAAACATTTCTCTAAATGCGTTTGCTTGTATTGGCGTGTAAAAATACAAGTGTTTACAACTAAATGCATTGTGTATAATAAAATCTTATTTAAAAGTAGCAAATTCTCTAGACAAAAAAAGGCTATTTTAAAATGTGTTTGGTAAAATCTGTTACTATGTATGTATTATCTAGTTGTTCCTTAACCACTTCTTCGATCTCTCCTTAGCCTGAATGTTTGGATTTGTTTTAAATTGTGGGCATCTTGGAGTTAACACAGAAAGATTCTGATGTGTAACCTAATTGTGGCATCAGGAAATAGGAAACTGCATCTTTAAGCAGCACACAATCAAAAATGAATTACAATAAATCCTATATAATTGCATAGGTCATTCTCTTTAATGAGATTTTATTAACCTGACTGTCAAGCTTTTGAGTCAGGCAGATATTTTATCTTCTTCAACTGATAAAAGTGTCAGCTATAAACCACCATATAAATATTCATAGATCTACACATCTGTGGCAGCCTATCAGCTTCATTCTTTTGGACATTAAATGCATTCTAATTACTTTCTGTCTAGTAGAGCTGAGATCCTGCTTTCTATAGTGCGTTCTTGGCAGGGATGATTGCTTTTGTTTGCCATCACAAATAGCAACAACCTATTTCTTACACTGATAGTTCTGAAAAATATATTCACAAATTTGACTGATCTAGACATGTTTTGGAAAGCTTACCCGCTTTAAATGGCGTCAGAATATTGGCGCATCTATTAATATATTGCTAGATTTCAACAGAGGATTCTAATTTTCTTTTATGCCCTTTCATCTCACGAATCACAAAAAATTGTTATAATAAAAATAAAGTAGGGAGTGTGGCTCTGTAATTTAACCCTTACGTCATAAAATTAATATGGGAGAAATGTTCTGTTTGCAGTGTTTTGATTTGCATCACAGCTTCATGCATACCAATTGTGCGTCTTGGAAAGGGTTAATAATGAGCTAAACGGATGAACAATAATTTAACTGACTGCAAATATTTAAGGAACCATGCTAAAATATCCCTTTCTGATACGAGGTGTCAGGTTTATAATAATCTTAACCTTATACAAAAGATGTGGCTGATAAACGTCTTTATTTCCTAGAAAATTATTTTCGATCTCATCACAGAACAGCAGAACTGACATGTAACTAATCATATCTCTGATAATGCTCTTTAAAAATAGAATTCGCTGGATTTTATTTTTTTCCGTGCATTGATTTGTTAATACTTCTTAATTCTCGATTGATTTTTCTTGAGTGACATGCAAATTGTCCTGGGGAAAGATGCGTTATTTATTTTTCTTTCTCACAAAACCACATCAATAAAATATTCATTGGAATCATACATCACAGTTTAGAAAATGGGAATGTGTATATATTGAATATGTACTGAGCATGAAATATTTGTGTTGCTGTCTTTTGTGGGTGTGGTTTATTTTATTTACAACGTAATAAATTTAGTTAGATTTGGAGATCACTGGAAAATATATTTTCATACAGATCATTAGTTGGCATCATGATAGAAAATATTTAAATTAATTTCTATCCATAAAAATGAATGATATTGTTAAAGAGAAAAACTTAATATTTTATCAAAATAATTATTTTATCAATTCAGCTTAAAGGGACACTATAAGCACCCAGACCACTTCATCTCATTGAAGTGGTCTGGGTGCAGTGTCCCTGTCACACTTAGTCCTGCAATGTAAAACATTGCAGTTTTAAAGAAACTGTGAATTTTACTTTGCAGTACAAAGACATCATCTATCAGACATCCACTCGAGGAGCTTCCGGGATTTTAGCAGACTTTTGGTCCCCCAACTAATGCAGAATGTCCTCACACTGTCAGTGAAATTCCCATAAGAAAGTGTTGCGTCAATGCTTTCCTATGGGGAGGTCTAATGCGCATTATTCAAAGTTCAAGTGCTTACTTATGTTAAAGGAAATTTATAGGCACCCAGACCACTTCAGCTCATTGAAGTGGTCTGGGTGGAATGTCCCTTAACCTTACAGTGGTAATTATTGCAGTTTCTGAGAAACTGCAATAATTACCTCTGAGGGTTAACTCCACCTTTAGTGGCTATCTACCAGACGGCCACTAGAGGGACTTTCGGGTGCTTAGACGACTTTTGGTCGTCTAGATGATGCTGGATGTCTTCATGCTATGCATGAGAACTTCCAGGGTCACCGGAATCCCCATAGGTAAGCATTGATTAATGCTTTCCTATGGGGAAATCCTAATGCGAGCCATTGCCGCGCATGCACATTAGGTCTCTCCCACCGGCTGGTGTCGGCGGGGAGGAGTGTGGGTGAAGCCTGACCCAGCGCCAAAGGACATCGGCGCTGGATTCAGGAAAGTGACTGAGGGAGTTTTAACCCCTTCAGCGCCGCAGGAGGAGGGAGAAAGGGGCAGGGGCGGGGGGCACTGTAGGAACCTATAGTGCCAGGAAAACGGCTTTGTTTTCCTGACACTATAGAATACCTTTAATTGTTTGCAAAAAATTACATCCATCATCAGCAAGCTGGCAATGGAAGTAATTAGATTCTTCGCTTTCAGGTATGTCTGCCTCCCAGCCACTTGTCTACTCCCCTCCACCCTCTATACAGCCCTCCCTCTTTAGCGACTGGGAGGAGGGCAGGCTGTAGGGCTGATGAGCCTTAAGTGATCCAACAATGCTTCTCTATGAAAAGCATTTGATTGCACCACAGATGCAAAGAGAACTACGTGGGATGACATTAGAGAAGGCAAGGATATGATCGTAAAGAACTTTGCCCAGTGCTTGGTTCCAGGTAAATGTTAATGCTTTTATTGCAGTTTAAAACCAAAACAGAGGGGACAATGTCTGGGTACAACGTGCCCAACAGGGCATATATAGATAAACCCTTTTAAGTGTGTGGCTCCATCTGTAATTGTATAGTGACTACACCGTGATAGCAGTATATACTGCACAATAAGGTTACACAGCTATAGTGTTAATGTAGTATGATTCTTGGTGGCACTAAGTGATCTTTTTATCTGCGTGCTAGTAAAATGGAGTCTTTGGAGTTGTTTTACTTACCCGTGAAATTAAGTGAATTGAAAACAATAAATTCTGAAATAGGCCAGAATAGCTCATTTGGACAAAAGTCTTCTATATTCGTAGATCGACTATTTTAGCCTGAATTTTTAAAATGTAGTGTTTCAACTTTTTAATTCAGTGTTTTAGTGAATAACCCTATATGTAACAAGCGAAGGACAGGCTGCTATAAGCAGGCCATGAGCTAGTCAGGCTTGTAACCATCATCATGTACAGTAAGTGACTTGTTTTATTAAAATTCCAAGCACTGAAATGACTCTTAATGTGATGTGCTGTTCTTGCAGCAGCTCCATAGAATATATTGAAATAAAGTATGTTATTGATTTATGGATGAGTTCAGTATGCAATGTAAAATGTGTTCAATAACCTCTTAGCTGTCAAATTGGAGACATTATGCTTACAGTCCATCTTATCTCTCCATTGCATTCCTTTTTTTAATTTCTTCTGTGTTGATCATTCTAATCATATTGTTATTGTAAGAATAATTCTGGAACTGCTATATACATTACCCAGAGTACACACTTGTTTTTTTAGAGCTGTGTATATATTACCAACCAAAGGCCTATACAGAGTAACATTATAACAGTATCAATGCACAAGCCATTTTGACAACTAGATTGCTTATGCCATAAAATATTTGTCACTCAGCCACAGAACACAATATTTTTAATTTGTTATTCATTGCATTCAGTGTATACTGAATTTGTCTCCGTGATGTCATAAAATGTCTTTTGCTGTGATTTGCTATGAGCAATTCAACTGTTGCAGTAAATAGACTGAATAAACACTTAGTCAAAAATATACATTTTGTATTGTATTGTTTTTGTTTGTTGTGTTCTGTTTGTTTTTTATACTGAGGTTAAGACATCGCAAGAATGAAGTTGCTTTAAGCTTTGAAGTAGAAAGACGTTCTGCTTGAGTTTGCAGTCAAAGTGATGAAAGCTTTCAAAATGCATATATTCGTGCTTTCTTAATATATGGCCAAATTACATTTTGGGCAGATTCCAAGAATCTCAAAGTCACCAGTTGAAATCTTTGTATTCTGTGATTTTTGTGTGATACCCATACGATATACAAATATTTTTTCATTTTTTTTTATTTTTATATTTAATATTTTTTATTTGTTCCTAGCGATTTTAACATACATGCTCGGGGTGCCCCAATAGCAATCCTCGAGTTTCTATTCATGCTTAGCAATAGGAGCATTATGAAAATCGGCACAATTTATGTGTAATAGCAATTAACAGGTAACTAACAGCTTAATAGAAGGGTAATTGTCTCAGACAAGTGAGCGGAATATATAGCTTGTCACCATTGCCCTGAGCAGTGGGTTGGTGTCAGTTTATAGAGAAAAGAAGAAGCTAGTGAGAAGCCATAGACAGAGAAAAACATATTGGAGACATGGAAAGTATAGGTAAACATTTCCCTTGCGAATGACTGATGCAGAGGTTTTGTTTAACTCAGCTGCTTCGCTCTTGTGGCAGCAGGCTTATGTGACAGTCCCCCCCTCTGGGTCAACCAACTCCCATCCTTAGTAGAGTGGCTGTATCATCCATCGGGTGTTCTTCGCCTGCTTGGGGACCTCTCCAGCCCCAGGATTGTTCATCTGTGTACCACAGACCTGGTTCCTGTAACAGTCCAAGTCTATTCCCTGCAGGGAGTGATCGGAGGGTCGAGGTGGTATTCGCCGTGTGACGCGGGTGATCTTCCGAACTTGTGGGTGATGTGGGTTGTGTATGCCCCTTGTGGCTCTCGGCCTGGGATGGCGAGCTGTAGGTCTTGTGGGTTTCCTCGCCCGAGTGCCACCTTGAGTAGGTCCCCTCCTAGGCAGTCGCACGGGACTCCTGGCTCCTTTGCGCTTGCTTGGCTCAGTAGCTTGGGTGCGGTACTTTAATCGGAGCCAGAAATGATGGAAGATGGCATCCAGCCTCCTCAGGGAGTCTGCCATGTGGTTGTTGGTGGTCGCCTGCTTTGGACTCACCGCATGTGATTGCGAGGGAGCGGCGTCCGCCATTTTGCAGCGGCTGTGTTTGTGCTCATCGGTCTTGTCTGAGTGGTAAGTGTTAGTTTAGTCAGTCTGGTAGGCTTTAAGTGGACTGGGATGACCCCCACCAGTCCGGGGGAGAGAGGTAGGAGTGCTGCGGTACCAGACCCTGGGTCGTGGCGCGGGTGGATCGGCCACTTCCCCCACTGCCTCATCCCAGGTAGGCCGCAAGAGAGCTCCCGGGCTCTGCAGGTGAGTGAGTGCAGGCTTGTGTTGAGTGAGTGCTGGCTTGTGTTAGAGTTTTGCAAGCCCGGGTCCCCTCACCTTACTGTTACTGTTCGTGGAAGCCCCAAATTCAGGTAAAATACCCCAAAATCAAGCTTTGATTCAGGAGCTCTGGCTTTCCATGTCTTGTTGGCTCAGAGGTCAGGTTCCACCCCCCATATACAGATATTTGTATCCTGTTAAGTTATGGATCCACTTAGGTTATTGGCATTAGCAAACATTTTGCACAACCACGTTAATGGATAAAATGCATGTGATCAGTGGAACATAATGGCCTGCTAGCATATCAGGTTTGAGATACCCAAGACAGATTGTTCCTCCAAAAATTGAGATATTTAGTATAGCAGTCTTCATTCTTTAAGCATGATAACATTATTTAGTACTTCTGTGTCATAACAGAAAAAAACTAAATTTTCTTATCTGCTCTATATCCAATAAATAATATCATTAAAGGACCACTATAGTGCCAGGAAAACATAGTCGGTTTCCTGGCACTATAGTGCCCTGAGGGTGCCCCCACCCTCAGGGTCCCACTCCCATGGCGCTGAGCGGGGAGGAAGTGGTTAAACTTACCTCTTTCTCCAGCGCCGTGCGGGGAGCTCTCCTCCTCCTCTCCTCCTCCTCTTCGGCTGAATGTGCATGCTTTCCTATGGACGCTGGCGTCTTCTCACTGTGAAAAACACAGTGAGAAACGCGGAAGCCCTCTAGCGGCTGTCAATGAGACAGCCACTAGAGGCTGGATTAACCCATTTATAAACATAGCAGTTTCTCTGAATCTGCTATGTTTATAAAAAAAAAAGGGTTAAACCTAGCTGGACCAGGCACCCAGACCACTTCATTAAGCTGAAGTAGTCTGGTTGCCTATAGTGGTCCTTTAAAGTGACATTGCTATCTATGCTACCTCTTCTAATTTATACTTTCCTGCCGTCACCTCTAAAGGGGTATCTAGAATCCAAACTTACAAAGGGGCATCAGATGTCCCTTTGGAGGTGACCACAGGAAAGTACAAATTAGAAGAAGTTTTGGATAGCAATGTCACTTATGATATTCATTGTGAGTGTATATACATGAAAGCACTATCACATTAATTGTTTAGTTTTGACACTGTATTTTTTTTTAAATTGTGTTTATCGCATTTATTTTGCATTATAAATATTGCTCTTACAACAGATTAATTAAATATGTGTTGGTTCATTTAGCACTAGCACGATTTAATTTGTTTCCCATGTTAAAAATTACTGTAGGACCCACCAATAATGGTGTACTATGGTGAAGTGGTGGGCTTAACAAGAAATGGAACTAAATCCACATTTATTTGCGAAGATAAGTGATTTTAAGTAGCCTTGTAAAAAATTTAAAAAATTATTTTTATGTGCGCACTGTTTCGTATTCTATATTTTGTAGAAAGAGGACTGACAAGCCCTGCTGACAGCAGATCTGCAGGATTTGCTAGCTGTTTTAGATGTAGGCAATAATTGCATGCATGTTTTCAGGGGGGTATATCTACTACATTGTTAACAAATTAAAACATTTTTCCATTGGAGTGTTCCTTTAAATGGTTGATTCTGAGAAATTTACTTAAACTTGTAGAAATTGAAAATAGTGTGTTAGAATAATTTTATCGTTTGCTTTTTTTTGTAAAAGGTAATGTTTACCTTGGCATCTTTGTTTGTCATCAATACATGTGAAATAAGGGAAACAAATCTGTAGAAATTTATTTTTGTAACCTCCTGTTAATGTTAATTCAAATCAGTGAATATAACCAATTATCTTTACTCTGGAATTAAAGCATGTGTTTCTGATCAATCTGAATAATTGTTAATTCTGACATTTAATGAACAAATGAAAGAACCACCATTTTCTTCTTGCAATGTTCCTAATTAATATATATATATTTTTTTGTAGAGAGTCGAATGATTCTGGATGCCTTCGCCCAGCAGTGCAGTAGAGTCCTCAGCCTTTTAAACTGCGGAGGAAAACTTTTGGACTCAAAACATTCCCAATCTTTAGTCTCATGTGTAAAACAGGAAAATAACACTTATGAGAGACCAGATCAGTGCCAGCTCAGTAAAGCATTTTATAACCAACCTTCGGAGAAACCGGACATTGAAATGCAGTATGTGCAGAAAAAGCAGCAAACCTCAGCTTTTTTGAGAGTCTTCACTGATTCACTTCAAAACTACTTGTTGGCTGGCAACTTCCCGACTCGGAATACCTCATCCAACAATGATTATGGACACATGTCTGATATGGACGTTCTATCTTCTTCTCCAGTGCATACATTGGGTGGCTGGACATCTCCAGCGACCTCTGAATCTCATGGTCATCCATCCTCCTCCACACTCCCTGAAGAGGAAGAAGATGAAGAAGGTTACTGCCCTAGGTGTCAAGAACTGGAGCAGGAGGTGATTTCTCTGCAACAGGAGAACGAAGAATTACGACAGAAGCTAGAAAGTATTCCAGGTAATGAAATCTCGCAAGGACTCCCAGGTCGTAGATTTGCTAGCCCAGCACTTGACTTAGGGACCTTCTAAGAATTATCTGTATTAGAGGATTACATTTCTAATTGCTTTACCCTTGTAAATGCACATTTTCATTGATATGCCAAAACGAAAACAAAATCTGGCAACCTTACACATTTCTCTCTTAACCCTTTACAGAGTGCCCAGGGAACATTCTAGAATTGGGAATACAAATATATATGCCTAACTCTATTGAGTCTATTATCTATTATCTATTATCCTAGAGATATCACTTTCCCGTTTCTTGTTCGTGTGCACAGCATGTTCCATGCGCATGTCCAATAAAATGCTTGTCATAGGAAAGTATTGGATCCAGTGCTTACCTGTCAGTTGCATTAGAGGACGTCCACTATCCTCCTGGGCGTCAAAGGTCATTGTGCTGCCTGGGTCCAAGGATGAAAAGGTGCTCCCCATCCCAAAAAACAAACATATGTTTTTGCAATGTTAGTGTCTCTATGTGTGTGTGCTTGGGATGATATGTGTCTGTGTGTTTTCTGGAGGTGAAGTGTGTGTCTTTGTGTGTACTGGGGGATGAAGTGTGTGTCTGTGTGTTTGCTGGGGATGAAGTGTGTGTTTCTGTGTGTGCTGGGGTGAAGTGTGTGTCTGTGTGTATGCTGAGGATGTAGTATATCTGTGTGTGTGTGCTAGGGATGTAACGTGTGTCTGTGTGTGCACTGCAGCCAATGCACTTACCTATATTCTGTGTCTGTGTATATGCATGTGTGTCAGTGTTTGTATCTGTGTGTCTGTATCTGTGTCAGTGATTGTATCTATTTGTCTATGTATATGCATGTGTGGCAGTGTTTGTATCTGTGTGTCTGTATATTTGCATGTGTATCAGTGTGTCTGAGCAACTGTATGTGTGTCTCTGCATCTGCATCTGTGTCAGTATATGTATCAAACACTGACACACATGCAGATTTTGACATACATACAGATATACACACACTGATAAACCTGCAGATACACAGATGTACAAACATACACACACTGACACATACAGATACACACACTGACACACATGCAGACACACAGATACACACACTACACACGGACAGATACACACACTACACATGCACAGATACACATACGCATACACACACAGATACACATTACACACTTACAAGCACACAGATAAACACACTACACACATACAAACACATAGCTACACACATATACACACGTTATATAATTAAGCCACCCAGCAGTTTATTACTTTCTGCTGTCTGTGGCTGGTGGCCGTTGGGGACCTGCTCTCCTGGTTTAGCCCCATCTTTGCGGCTCCCTCCTCCTGCGCAGCTTGGTCTCGGTGAGTGTGAGCTTCCTTCCAGCACTCCATGCGGATAGAAGCGGCCAGGTCGCAATCTTAATCTTTACACAGATTCCTAAACCGTGCGGTGCAGCTGCACTGCTGCCACATGTTAGGAACACCTGTTTTAGATGATGCTGTCCCTGTAAGTGTGCCTCCTGGAGCCATGGCCCCACTGGGTCTATGGACGGGCCGGCCCTGGGCTAGTCTGATAATTGGTCAGTATTTCCTGTAAATTGCATTGTTTATTCTGTAATTTTAAGATATCATGAGATGGCAAACATAAAATTGACCAATAATATTGCTAAATCAACTTGTTAAGAGCTAAGAGTTAATTGCTTAGTCAACTTGTTAAGAGCTAAAATCAGTAACCCATTCATACACTATGTACAGTCCCTTAGACTGTATTGTATATTGGTGTTCTCTTAACATGAAATTAATTTAGAAGTAAATGAGACGTAAAGAGCAAATCCTTTTTTTGGAAGGGGCAGTTTATATGAGTATGAGAACCATCATTTGTATTTTTAATAGAACATGAGATATATTCTGAAGCTTTAGTCCTATAATCCCAAAATAGTGGATTTGTTGTCATATTTTTGGTTAATGATAGGCTAGCTCTGTTTGTGATCAATGCAAAGTTGCTCATGTGTTGGCAAGTGACTGTAAAATACTGGAGGTTGAAACACCGAATTTAAGTGAAAATCTAACAGGTTTTTAGCCTTTTTTGTTTTATAGACTCTTATAAATTTTAGATGTATACATAAATGCCACAGAGAGGGTAGAGTATAGAACATTGTAACAGTAAAATTGGCGTTTCTTGTTAAATTTCTGCAGGTAGAATTAAATCCATATGTGGAGATCACGCTTTCAATCCAGTGAAACCCGCTAATGGATGTTAACTCAGGTTAAAGGTAACTGGCAGTAATTAATTTTCTCTTATATTGCCCCATTGTAGTGTGAAATTTATCATTTTTCTGCCCGCTGTGCTCCCATTACAGTGTAGTTCTAATGACACACACAACTTTGTTTTAAACTAAAATTATTATTTGCGCCAACATATTGCACAGAGCTGAATTGGAAACAAGATGAACAATTAATTCTAAAAAAACATGTGTGACATACTGGAACAGTAGGTGATGAGGGCCTTGCCCAAACCAGCTTACAATCTAAAGCGGTGAGTGGCAAATAATCAAATCATTTGAATGTACCTCAGAATGGGAGTTTGGGAGGAGGGAGCACAGTAGTGGGGAGATGGCATAGGAAGATTGTAGGAGCTGTGGAGTTAAGAGGAGAACTGATATTCTTCTCTAAAGAAGTGTGTTTTAGGGATATTTCTGGAGGGCTGCAGAGATGGGGAGAGTAAATTGTCCCGCAGGAGGGCATTACATAAAGAAGGGTACCCTGGAGAAGTCCTGCAGTTGAGTAGCCGAGGACAGTAACAAGTTGCCAGCTCAGTGAAGAGGCCGAGCTGCAGCATTTCTATTTGTGAGGGTGGAGATGTAAGGAGGTGCATGAGTATAGAGAGCTTTGTAAGTAAGCACTTTGAACAGAATCCTAAGAGAAAGCGAAAGCCAGTGTCAAGTCAGAAGGGCGAGGTGTGAAAATTCCTAGACATAAGGTAGAGGCGTTTATTATGGACGGTAGATTGCAACAAGCAGAGAGTTTTAATAATCAAGGTGGGAAGCAAGAGCATGGACAAGCATGTCAGCTATATCTTGAATGAGAAAGGGGCAAATGCAATACATTTTTTTAAGGGGAAAGCAGGAATTGGTGATAGAGTTTATGTGAATGGTGAAGGTCTGAGTTTAAAAGCACACCAAGGTAATGTGCCCTGTGGTAGAGATTTCTATAACTCTGTTGACCTTAAGGGAAATGTGTAAAGATGTAGCTTTAGGGGGAGGAAAAAGAAAAAGTTCAGTCTTTGACTTTTTCAGTTTTAGGAATTGTGAAGTCACCCAGTCAAAAACAAACGATAGGCATACAGTGACAAGATCTAGCAGATTGGGGATAGGTAAGGAGAGGTAGATGAGAGAGGTATAGAAGGGGAGGAGGAACCAGAGGAGGAGACACTGAAGGAGCAGTCAGAGAGGTAAGAAGAGAACCAGTAAAGAGCAGTGTCACCAAGGCCAAGTTTGCAAAAGGTGAGAAGTAAAACGAGTCATCAATAGTGTCAAAATTGGCAGAAAAATAAAGAACAATAAGTAGGAGTAATAGTCTTTGGATTTGGCTATCACTAAATCATTAGTCAATAAAGGTTTTAGTGGAATGTTTGGAGCGGAAGCCTGACTAGTGGGTCAAGTAAGGAATTGGAGTTCTCTGTAAGAAGTGGAATACTCTGTAAGATGTGTATGAACAAGTCTTTGATGAAGCTAGGAAAAGCATCAGGGTCAAGAGAATTTTTTTAAAAAAAATTATAGTATGGGCGTAATCACCATGTGTATGAAGGACATGGGTAAATTGCCAGAAGAATGCGAGGTAATGTGATCCAGGGTGCACATGGTAGGGCAGTAAGAAACAAAGCTTCAGAAACAACAGCGAAGTGTAGAGGAGGACTCTGGGTACAGGATTGGACAGTTTAGGAGAGAAGCGAGCAAGACAATCTTTTTGAATGGTGTCAGTCTTTTCTGTGATGTTGAAGATGACGTGGGGAGCATTAGTGAGATAAAAGTTTGAAAAAAGGTGTTTTTGGTCACACAAGAAGGTGGAGATGGGGGGGCCTTCGCTTTGTACATTGTAAAGAGCTACTGCCTACAGTCGTTCTTCGCACCTTCCTCATCTCACTTGAATAAAAAAGACAACCAGCCCCAGGTAATAGCGGCACACCGGGGCATTGTTTGGTATCCTCGTAGTCCTGTCCATCCCTTTACAGAATAAACAAAGGGAGCACTATGAACCACCCTCCAGTCTGTCACCTGGAGTTTGCGCTCTAAGAGCCAGTGCACTCTAAGCTAGTGCTTGTGCTGCCTCAAGGTAGTGCCTGCCCTGCTTTAAGGTATTGTGTGGATTTTGTATGTCAGGGTTGGCATTTGGCTTCATGCACAGGGTGGATAGTGATGTGACACCGCTTATCTAGATTACTTGAGTGGGTAGTATTGGAGCGGGGTGATACCATAGAACAAATATAGGCAATCTTTGGCACTCCAGATGTCATGGACTACATCTCCCTTAATTCTCTTACAGCCATAAGCATCAGTAGTCCACAACACTACTACTTTTTAACCTATTCGACAAACCCCAAAGAAAACATACATGCATTCTGTGGGGGATATATGAAAAAACTGCTTGAAAAAGCTGCAGACCTGCTGTCTACAGCCTTTACAAGCCCTCCCGTCTCAGTCTGTGCTGGGTAATGACCAGTCAGAGCCTTCTCAATGAACTCTAGTACAGTGCATTGAGAATGGGCAGTTGCGCTCTAGCACAGCGCAATTGTCGCTTCTTGTAGCTCTCTGGAGCAGAAATAGAACAAATTCTTGTTTCTACCCCTTTTTTATAAACTATAAAAAATTTGACAGATTCCAGACATATAAAGCACTTTAGAAAGCATAAATGAGTTATGTGTCTGTAGTGGTCCCTTAACACCAAAAAGATTTTGTTTACAACTGTTTGACTTAAGATAGTTATTTACTAAAGTGAGAATTTCCTGGAATTCAAAGTGCATTTCAATTTTTTTTGCCAAAATGGTAAAATTAGGAAAAAAAATTAATCTGTTTTTTATTTGGTTATTTTGGCATTAAAGGACCACTAAAGTCACCCAGACCACCTCATCTCAATGAAGTGATTGGGGATCAGTGATCCTGTCTTTTTAACACTGGAATGTAAAATACAGCAGCTCACAGAAAAACATTGAATTCAATGATTTCCTATCAGAAGTATTTAGATGCGCATGTAGCATTCGGAGTGCATACACGTATGTTTTCAATGCTCCTCTATGAGGGTCCACCAGGAAGAGAGCAGGACCTAAAACCAATCTGCAGCTAGGCACTATAGCATTAGGAATACAGGTTTGTATTCATAACACTATAATGTTCCTTTAAATTTGGAATTTACATTGAACTTTAATTTGCAGCTATATGCACTTTAGTGAAGACCCCTAAAACAATATTGCATTGAAGGACTTTGATATTCATATATGCCACACAGGAGATTTTATTGCTTTGAATATTTTATGTTGTGTACTAGAGCTGTGGAATAAACCTACATGGTCAATGACTAAACTCTGGATTTTGGACAAAGTCCAGTGAAAATGGCTGAATTCCGACCACAATGGTAATTTTCATATTTACTAAATCCAAACCTTGTCAGGCCAAGAGAGTCCGCAGCAATCGCGCAGATGCATTTGGTGACCACATTAAAATCAGTGCTTGCGCATGCGAATCTTATAGAAAATATAACATTCTAAAGATTCCCAATGCACCAGTTTTACTAAAAGTCAGAACTAAACGAATCCAGCCAGCATTCACAAATTATTGTTCACCAGTTTTTTTGTAAGTGAATGATAAATGTAAGTACTATTCGTCGGCTGACAGCGCTACCAGCCAGCCAGCTGGTAAAAAAAAAAAAAAAAACCTAGGCAAAATGAGAAAAACAAAAAGTCTATGGGAGTCAATAGGACAGGCAAGTCTCATCTCTCTTAAGGCTTGCCTGTCAGAGTGTTCTGATTGGTTGGCTTATTAGTAAACCATTCAGAATGTTCCTACTAATATTACTTAACATGGGAAGCCTTTAATAGGGCGTTGTCCACTATGAAGGAGCTCAGTCTGTGCCGAGCCCTTGCATGACAAAGATGCTTATTTTATTTATATTATTTAAATTGCATTAGTTGGGAATTATGGATTTTAAATTGTTTTTGTTTTTTTGGGGACTGAGAAAAAGAATTAGAAAAAAGAAGACTTCTAATGGTAAGTATAATGACTGCCCAGTCATTCGTTTTAAAAGATATGCGCTCACCTGCTGCATGGCAGGTGGTGGGCAAATGGAGGATTTAAACCTTCATTATGGTCATTTGGGATCTTACTGGCCCCCATTAATTTATTTTTTTTAATGGCTGGCTAGCATGTCATAGAGCTCCTCAGCAATTGAAAGTAATAGGCTAAATGTATGGGCATATCACAGAGCTCCACGCCATAAAATTCCCAGTAATATGCAGGGTGTTAGAGTATATCACTTGGTGTCTGAGCAGAACTCACAGTAATGATCAGTGCCTATTAGACTTGGGTGCTGCTGAAATTTTTGTTTTGCCCACACACAACTGAATGAAAAAAGAAAATGTTCTTTTCAGGCGAAATTTGTTTTCATTTCAAAATTTCATTAGAACGAATTCAATTCCGATCCGTGCCACGGGCCATGACTGCATCTTGCAGGCATTTAGTAGATAACTCCCCAAATTGCTAGCCTTGTGGGATTATCATATTTAAGCATACCAAATTAGGGAGCTGTTTAGTAGATAGCTCCAATTTGGTATCCTTATGGCAATCCCAGAAGGATTAGGGAGCAATCTACTAAGAATCTGAAAGCCAAAAATTAGGAAAAGCCCTTACTTTTCATAATTTTGGTCTTTCAGTCAAATTTACTAACACTAAGTAAAAAATACTACGTAAAAAAGGCAGAAAAAAAGCCTCCCTAATGCCCCTACCTGCCGTGCTGCGAGTAGAGTCATATCTACTAAACAGCGATCAGCCAGTGTCTGCTTGCTGTTCTAAAAGCTTTCCTTCGCTATTTAATTTGAGTCAGAGTGCTCTGGTTGGTTGGTTGAATTAATTTAACAAACCATCCAAATTAATTACTTTTGTTGCCCCACCATGCGTTTATGGGTTTAATCCCCTTATTGTATTAACAGCAATAGCAGTTAATATATAAATCAGGACACAGACCGGGAAACGCGAAGATAGATTTCAAGGCGATTCAAGGCAAAGACAGATTTCCCCTCCCAGCCACTCTGCATTTCCTTCTGCCTCACTCTGTTCCTTATTTTGATTGTTTTTTTTAAACCTCGCCCTCCTTTTCACTCTTTATCCTCCCTATTGCTTAGCTCAGTGGAGCTAAACTCAGGATGCAGACAATTAACCAGAACACCTGCCTTACAAAGACTTCTCATTGAGCTGCATTGGGAAGTCTGTGATTGGACAGCCACAGAAAGTCTAGGTTAGAATGGGAGGGCTTGCAAAGGCTGCAGACAAGAAATCTGTAGCTTTTACAAACTGTTTTTGTATACACCCAATGAAAAAAAAAATTAAATGCATGTATGTTTTCGAGAGTTATACCTACTAAATACTAATTTTTGTGGGGTGTCTTTAAGTAATAGAGATAGGGCACTTAAAAAAACACAATTGGGAAGCAACATCTTAATCAATTATTGCTGTCCCATAGAGATCCTAGCTCTCATTCAAAATGTATGTCATACATACTCAAAATTCAATGCTTAAAATGCACTCTGGTTACTTCAGAGATGAATCCTTAGTTTTGCATGCACCCCACAACATTCCATCCCTGTCAGAATTAAAATGTTATAGATCAAAAGATGTAGCTATGCAAAGAACGCTTTAAAAGTCTGATGTATCCTTCATTTGACTTTTTATTTCTAAAGTTTAAATAGAAAATATACTTAAGTAACAGCAAAATGGATCTCTAGAGGAAACATTTCTTCCAAAAATAATTTTTAGCATTCAGAAATAGTTGGTTAATTGCCACAGTTCATTCAGAAGGGTAATTGTTATGTTGGTACTATTAAAAACTTTCAAACATATTTTAATTTTGCATATTCTGGCAAATATGATGCTAAGTGTGTTTTCAAATTTTAGTGTCTATTCCAAATAAAAAGATTGAAAACTGGTTTACAATAAAATGTACCCAAACTAGTATCATTTGGATCCTCTTTAGCAATTAAATCGGGATGGTAAATTACATGGACACTCTAAACACCAATACAACTTAAGCCTAATAAAGCAGTCTTAGGGTATAGCAGTGGTTCCCAAACTTTAGGTTCAAGGCGCCTTTAATATTTTTCCAAGGCGCCCTAAATGAAAACAATTTCTTAGGTTGTATATGTGTACAGCGCAGCAGCATATACCGGGCTCCTGTTCGGCAGAAATGCTTGCCGTTCAAGCGCAGATCCAGAACCTAATCTTGGGAGGGGCACTGGTAGATTATTTAAAGAAACAATCCAGACACAAGAACCACTACAGCACTTTGTAGTGGTTATGGTGCCAATAGTGCCATAGTGCCCTCCCAGAGTAAGTAGTCAAACTGTTTAAGAACAGTTTGACAACTTACCTGGGATCTGCCAAGATTCTTTAGTAGGGAATAGGGGCACTAGTGTGTGTGAGGGGTGGGGTGCAATATATATATATGTGTGTGTGTGGGGGGTGCAGTGAGTGTAAGGGGTTGCTTTGTGTTTGTGAACGGTGCAGTGTGTGTATGTGGGGCAGTTTGTGCATGAGGGGTACAGTGTGTGTGGGAGCAGGTTGAATGTGGGGTGCAGTGTGCTTGTGAGGGATGCAGTGTGTGCGTGTGTGTGTGGGGTGCAGTGAGTGTACAGTGGTGCATTGTGTTTGTGAAGGATGTAGTGTGTGTGCATGAGGGGTACATTGTGTTTGGGTGGGAAGTTGTGTGTGTATGGGGGGGCAGTGTGTGCATGTGTATGGGGGAGCAGTGTGTGTGTGTGTGTATGGGGGGCAGTGTGTGTATAGGGGGGATAAGGTGTGTGTGTGTGTGTGTAGGGGGAGTTATTGTGGGTGTGTGGGGATAGAAGGGCAGATAAATATATACTTTAAAAAAATAAAAGAATAATAATATTTATATCCCCCCTCCCTGCTTACCTTTGCCTTGGACGGGGGATGTTTCCTGCAATCCCTGGGAAAGTCCTGGTAGTCCCAGTGGTGAGAGTGAACTCTAGCAGCCTAAAGAGCTACTAGAGTTCACTCTCACAAGATTTGGGGTGTCGTTGTGTCAAGCTCGCAATAGGAGAACCTGGCTGAGCTGCAGGTTAGAGCTCCCCCGGGTTCTCCCTTACTCCTCTGCCGGCATAACACTGCCAACGGGCCGGTCAGGGAGATCTCTTATCTCCCCTCCGGTCCTGCAGAGCCGGCAGGGGAGAGGGAGGCACAGTTCCCGGTGCTATGATCATATGAGCAGAGCACCAGGAAAATATCTTGCTACTCCCCTGTGTGCCCATTGACACACAGTTTGGGAACCGCTGGGGTATACAGTTGTTATCAAAATTATTTAACCCCCATTGAAAATCAGTTTGTTTGCTTTTTTGCAAAAATTTGCAGACTTTCAGACAAATCAAACAAAGCAATTGAAATAGCCCAACACAATGAATGCTTCAAGTGGTTTTCACAAATTCAACTGAAAATTTAACTTATAACAATTTCTCCAGCCTCAAAATTATTCATCCCCTTTGTGGCAAGCATATTTAGTACTTAGTAGAGCACCCTTTTGCTGCTATGACCTGCTGCAAACAAGGTGCATGGCCAGACACCAGGTTCCAACATTGTTCCTGCGGAATCTTAGTCCATTGCTCATGGCCTCCAGTTCAGTAATAGTCTTGGGTTTGCATGCTACAACCTCCTTCTTCAAATCCCACCAGAGATTTTCTATAGGGTTCAAGTCAGGTGACCACTGTAGAATTTTCCAGGACTTCTGCAACCAAGCCATGGTGGAATTTGAGGTTTGCTTGGGATCATTGTCTTGTTGGAAGGTCCCAAGCTTCAGCTTCCTCACAAACGGCATGACATTTTCTCCTATGATTTCATGATATGTCATTGAATCCATCTTGTCTTCCACATGCTACAGGTTTGAGTTGAATTTGGGGAAACTACTGGAAGCATGTTTTGTGTTGAGCTATTTCAATTGCTTTTGTTTGATTTGTTCATTGCAAACATATTTTCAATGGGGGTTAAATAATTTTGATTACAACTGTATACCCCAGCTGAACGTCTGTAGATTTCGACAATAAACCTGATTTTCATTGGGGGTTGAAACATTTTGATTACAACTGTAGTTAATGCCCTAAGAAGTTAAATCACTTTTGTTTCTGTTTATGCAGCCTTAGTCACACCTCCCCTGCATAAAAACTATGTTCATTCTCAATCTGTGCAGTGTGTTTACTTTAGAAGATCGTATCTCCTGCTCCCGGTAAGTGAACTTTTATGACACACAGTAGGCAACTGCAGGTTGTAGCAGGCTATTAACAGAGCAGGAGATAAGAAATTCTAAATTAAACATACTTTGCATTAAAAGAAGTTTAAACATTGGATCTCTCCATTAAGCTAAAGCTGTTTTGGTGATTAGTGTCCTCATAAAAAGGTGTGGTCCGTGAATGGAAGTTGTCCATGTTGGCAGATCTCTTCATCTACAGTAAGGAAGCGTAGAGGACTGTTTATCCACTGCTCTCTAGGTATTCTCCAAAAAGAGGTGACTCAGGATACAGAATATGGTCAATATGTACTTCACTTGTGTTGAAGCTAGCAGTTAAGTCTCCAAGCTCTATAAAGATATAGATGTTTAAAGTGAAAAGAACATAAAGCTCAGTGAGTTCAACTTTTCACACACCATTCTAACTTGTATGGATTCAAAAGAAGGCAAATAATCTCTAGACTGACATATCTAATCTTGCTTAAAAAGAGAAGAAAATGCTTCTTGACTTCAAAATGAAAGCTAGATTTCTTTGTGGATCAATAAGCTGTTTTGATTGTGTCCTTCGTTATCCTACATCATATGAAGAAATAGGTTACAATTGGTGCAATCCCTGTGGGTTATTGGCTAAACTTGCCTCATAAGTGTTCCTCTTTAGGAGGGCGCTGTATGTTTAAGATCAAAAGATTCCAAATTATGATCTTCTTTGCTTTGAAATTTTTGTTTTGTCACTCTTTTTATAAGAGTTTAAAATGTTGAGTGTTTATGGGACTGCAGCACTTACGGGTCTGCAGCACTAAAGAGACACTATAGTTATCCAGACGACGTCATCTCAATGAAGTAGTCTTGGTGCAGTTTCCCTGTCTTTTTTAATCCTGCAAAATCCATGTAAAATATCGCAGTTTTTTTTTTTTAGAAATGGCAATATTTATGTTGCAAGGTTAATGGAACCCTATAGTGTTAGAAATTCAAACATGTATTCCTAACACTATAGTGCTGAACTACCTAATTAGATGTCCTGCCCCCCTCAGTAAGGAGTTAAAAAAGTAGCTTACTTACCTTTTATTCATCCTTGAGTTGGTCTCGGTGTAGCTGGCCCCGCCTCCATGGCTGAGATAATTAATCTTGATGATCTCTGCCAATTCAATGTTTCTCATAGGAAACCATAGGGAGGCAAAATGCTGTGCTGCACCAATCAGCATCTGCTCATAGAGCTGCATTGAATAAATGCATCTCTATGAGGAGCGATCAATGCATCACTGAAATAGGAAGCACATCTACTGGCTGTCTGGGTGACTGCATCCAAATATGTTACCATGCATCAATTCAAAAACTGACTTTTACAGGTGGCTTTTACAGTTCTAAGACTGCAGGTAAATACTATAGACACCAGAACCACTACATTAAAGTCTCACAGTTCAATTTACTGCCATTTAGGAGTGGCACTAGCCACCTCCCTCACCCTCAGCCAGCAGTTATATCATACTAAATGTACTTTCACCTTAAATACAATATAATATAATGGTGATCACAAAAGTTATACTCCTCCAAAAGTAAAATTATCAGCCTCCCTTGAGTCACCCCCAATCGACGATTTCACATCAGTCAAAGCATATACACATTATACAAGTATATTGTGAGTGCATCTAATTATAGCGGATATAATTTGGTTATATAGATTTACACTATGTTTTGTATATTTCTTTAATTTCAGATCATCAGCTGGTTCCCTTTTTCTTTTGCGTATAGCAGTTATAACATAACTTGCTTAAGAAGTTTTTATATCACACTAAGGAGACTTCTGCATGGTCTAGAAGGCTATTAACAGAGCAGGAGATAAGAACCTTTAAATTAGACAGACTGTGCAAGAAAGGAAGTTGAAACATTAGATCTGTCTTTACAGGAAGTGTTACTGTGCAGATTAGATCTGTCATTAGATCTGTCTTTACAGGAAGTGAAACTGTGCAGATCACATACAGGGCGGTGTGACTATGTTGTGTAAACAAAGTGATTTAACTCCTAAATGAAAGATAATTGAGCAGTGAGACTGCAGGGGCATGATTTGTACTCCAAAACTGATTCATTAAGCTACAGTTGTTCTAGTGCCTATAGGGTCCATTTAAGCAGTAGTGGTTCTGATGGCTATAGTGTGCCTTTGACTAGACCCCGTCTTCTCCAACAAAACAAGCTTTCTCTATGTGCATAATATATATAGATGATTTACATGCTTGCGGCATCTCAACTCACAACACTGTGAATCAGGTATCCAACTGTCCTGGCACTAATAGTGCTATTTTCCATCAAGTACAGTCCCAGCAAAATGTGCAATCCACCTGGTGCTAAGTATCTAACTAATAATGTCATATAAAGCTACTACACCACTGCCATGCTTTAAGACTTATGCGGGCTTGAAAAGAGTTACACATGCACACAAAGGAACATGCACATTTAACCCCTTAAGGACACATGACGGAAATATTCCATCATGGTTCCCTTTTATTCCAGAAATTGTGTCCTTAAGGGGTTAAGGGAACACTATAGTCACCAGAAATCTACAGCTTTATGTAGCTGTTCTGGTGAGTATAATCCGTTCACTACAGGAATTTTTATGTAAACACTGCCCTTTCAGAGAAAAGACAGTGTTTACATTACAGCCTAAGGACCCCTTCAGTGTTCAGCGTCTCCATTCTCTACATAAGACACTGAACTTTCCCCATAGAGACACACTGATACAATGCATCTTTATGAGGAGATGCTGATTGGCCTGGGTGCAGTTTAGCTCCACCCCCCATCCTGCCTATTTGGCTGGAATCATCAGAATTTCCTATGGGAAAGCATTGGATTGGCGGAGATCGTCAATTCTGATGTTGTCAACCAAGGCTGTCAATCGGGGGCAGGGATAGCACCTGTAGGCCCATGAGGTGCTGGAAGAAAGGTGAGTTTAATACTATTTAAGGGGGTTAAGGGAGGGCTGGGAACCTTAATAGTGTTTTTCACACTATAGGGTCAGGAATACATGTTTATGTTCCTAATTCTGTAGTGTTCCTTTAACTTATATTTTATGCTTTTATACCGGTGGTTTCCTAACTTGATGTACAAGATATTTAACTATATTGATCATTGCTGTCTTGATTATATAGTTGCTAAACTTGCCCAATATATTTATATATATTTTTAATTCCACCAAATACTGCTATGTCATATTTATATGACGTGTATTAAAGGCACCTCCAGGTGGGATAATTCACATCCCATGAACAAATATTTACTGCTCTTTAAATGTGTTTATTTGACAAGAATTGTATACAGTAGAAACAATAAGGATAATTGTTAGAATATGATGAGTAACTGTACTTCACATACAGGGTTGGGGTATAAGGCTTCAGAACCTAAATTGGTTTATGGGTTGCAGTTAGTGATGGGATGACTATGAAATTACAGGCCCTGCATTAGAATAGAAAATGACATGATACTTGTCCACCAGGGGCAGATGTAAGAGGGAACTCCAACAATAACCAACCGTGAATTATCAAACAAAGTATGTACACCAGGAATTATCAAAGTATGTACACCAGTGGGATTGAAGGGGAAGACAACGGAGAGCCAAGGTTAGGTGACTGGGTAACTGTGCGGATGTGTATGTAAATGGAAGATTAGGTGAGGGTTAGGTGACAAGGTGGGGGCTAAGTGGCAGGGTCCATATAATATAAATGGGTTGTGAGGTAGGGGTTAGGTGACAGGATGAATTTATGTATATAACTGAGAGGGGAGGTGGAGCTTAAATGACAGGGTTGGGTATTTATATAATAAGAGGTGAGGTGGGAAATGTTAAATATTACTTTTATATAAGAATATTATGTTCCTTTGGATGAGTATGTAGTTAAAGTTCATGTGAATAGAGGAATGTACTTTTGTCTGCAGTACAGATGCTGTGATGTTGCGATGCAATGATGAATTTCAATGTGATTACATATTATCACTCTATATATCAGAGTAGGTGTGTATGTTTGTGTGTAATGCTGGTGTATGCCAATCCTAAAGTATAATTTATTTACGGTCAGAGTATAAACTGGAGGGATTGATTTTATATGTAGCTTAAATGTTTTACAAATGAGTAGAAAAGATGTGTGTGAAAGCATGGGTATATTTCTATTAAATTGGTAACGTATGAATGTAAGGGTGTATTTATGTTAAGTACCTGTGAGCGCAGGGGTGTATTTTCATGGAGTGTGTGTGTGAATACAAGCGGGTGTTGATGTATGAAGGCTAATATGTAAAAGTGTGGAGAGTTTGTGTATGAATGGTGGGCTATAGTTATGTTGCCTGTCTATGTGTAAACAACGTAGGAGTATTTTTGAGCAGTGTGTGAATATGGGTGTGCACTTGTGAGATGTGAGTGTGAATGTGTGTTGCCTGTAAGCTTGTGTAAATAAAGAGTGTATTACAAATATAGATCAGTGGTTCCATGGTGTAATGGTTAGCACTCTGGACTCTGAATCCAGCGATCCAAGTTCAAATCTCGGTGGAACCTTTCCATTACATAGCATTAACGTTTAGAAGCTTATAAGTCAGTTGGTCTGTGGGAAAAATAGTTCATATCAAGCTTTTAGTTTAAGCATGTGTGGGATTGGCATAAGGCTATCCTAGACTTAAGATAAGGCCTGGGACTAATTAAAAAAAGAATTTTGAAATATTGGGCAGACTAAATGGACCGAATGGTTCTTATCTGCCGTCACATTCTATGTTTCTATGATCAGGGTGTGTGTGAATGAGGGGTGTATTTACAATGTACAAATGTTTTTATTTTTTTATCTTTTGTACTCCCCCATTTACTTTTGGCTGTATGTCTCTCTCATTCTTCCTCAATGTATATATTGACCATTCTCCATCATTTGTGTCTTTACACAACCCACCTGTGTGTCTATCTATTATCAAACTCTTTGTCCTTCTCCACATCTACCTCACTGTCACAAATCTTACCCACTTCTATCTCCCTTCATAACTGTGCATCTCCTATGCCTCATACACCTCCTCCCAAAACCCCCATGTATGTCTTTGCAAGAGCTTTCTTTAAATGGTTTATAAAAGACCCAAGACAAATGTTTCTGCTTAAAACTGATTTATTCAAAGTTTATTCTGTTTCTCTTAGTGCCCTGCCAGACCGTCCTAGACTACTTGAAGACTGTACTGCAACATCACAATCAACTAGTGATACCGCAGCCAGTAGAGCAACCAACAGAGGTAAAACAAGATTTTTTAAACCCCGTAAGCTAACTTTCTATAGGGTATTACATATTATTTAATATGTTGATAAATACATATGTTTGTCTATAATTCATTAGTAATGACAGAACACACTACCACCATGTGTAGCATTGGTGACAAATGGTAGTATATGTTGGCTATTTAAATATCTTTATAACCAGATTTCTGAATTCATCCCAATGAAGCTTTCCAGCATTTAGTAATAAGTGTTAAGGTGATTATATCCCAGTACGCAAACCCAGGGAAAGCAGTACAAGAAAAACTTTTACTGGTCTTATGAGTGGCTGCGCTTAAGAGAGCAATAGAGAGTAGTCCAAGTTACTCCAGAATCAAGGATGCAGAACAAAAGGTCGATGAGCATGCCAGTCAGGGAGAAATTAGATTAGAATAAATGAGGGATAGAGCCAAGTCAAAAACCACAATATCACCAATCATAAACAGAATGCAATATCGAGTATCAAAAGGACAACGAAACGAAAGGGCAAGAAGCAAACTGAGTCATGGTCTTAAATAGTCCTGACACTGACGCCATTGGCTGAAAATAGTTTCAAAACCTAGGGGAAGGGTATTACTGTAAAGATGCAAACCGCTGCGACACCAGAAAATGATGCAGATTAAGGGAGGGAAGACACCAAGGAGTGAAGCATCAGAAACTGATGTAGAGAGATGCACAATAAGTCAAAACCATCTTCTGGTTTGTATTGTTCCCTCTGGAGAAAGTACTGTTGACTTCAGGTCAGCCAAGTAAACGTATGTGTAAGACATTCATCGGACAAGCCTCCATAGCTTACATTAGACACGGCAGAACAATTCTGTTTTCCAAGAAAAGTGCAATGCCTGTTACTCAGAATCCTTCCTCGCTAGGATGGAATACTTGATTAATGTATAAAGTACACATAGAGTTCTCGTCTTCTGTTCCTCTTGGAGACTTGCAGAGATGGAATCTTTTTGTATAAAAAAAGAAAAGGAAAAACATTATGATAATTTCACATTTGTTCTTGGGGCATTTGTATAAGAAATGTATCTTCGCAATTCCCCTTGGTCTTCAGATGTGTTGAGAGGTGGAATGTACTTTAACTTTACAAAATTTCCAAAGCTTGCATAGCTTTGATGGAAGAAGTCTTGATACATTGATTGAAGCTGAAAATGACTCGTTTGCATAGCTTTAATGGCAAAACAAAGTCTTCTCAACTCCCACTGGGTAAATATTGCCTTATAAGCTGTGGATGGGGCTTCACATTTCCATTCTCAAGTAATCGCTTTGTTTCTTAAATTTTATTGTAAGCTAATGAAGATATATTCTGATATAAATATGATTATTGTGTAACAAAACATTTCAGTAACGTAAATAGCATACAGGTATTGGTTGACAGTGTTATTCAGCATCCCATTGGTCGGAGATTTTCTGAACAGGTCTATACACCGGGTTGCAGTATCCATTCTGCCTATTTATAAGTTTATGGCGTTTTCTCCGTGCATTTAGCAGTCTGTAAGTTTTGTTATTTCGGCTGCATGAATTCCCTGCTATTGGTTTGTTTTTAGAGGATACTATTTTAGTGCCTATTCTGTTCACATCTTGCCCTTGTAAATAAGCAATGTCACACAGTGTTATTTACAGCATTATTTAGAACAATTAACAACCTATCCTATTAATAAATTTAGTTTGGGCCACATTTAATTTTAATTAAACATAAAGATGTCGATTTGTAGCTAATTAGTACCATATTTATTTATGCCTGAAGGAAACCGAATGGGAATGGTTAGAACTTACCCTCTGCAAAGTCTGGCTTTCTACTAAAATACTAAACATATATAATTGTCATTTTTAAAGTGAAATTAATGCATAAAAAAGTATATCTTAGATATCTTTTATAGTAGTCTGTGACAATAAAAATGATACATATTCAAGCACAATGGTGACATTACTCGTGCATTGTGGAAAAATAATGCCATTGAGGCATTTTGAAGAAATCATAATAAGCCAGGCCCATGCTCATGGAATAGGCCCATTGATTAAAAATAAATAATAATTAATTTATTTTTAAATGGTTTTTTTTTACTACTCTGCACCTACTCTTCTTTAAGTATGGAAACTTCAGAGGGATCTAGGGGAACAAAACTTGTGTGGACTGACTGACAATGAAATTAGTTTAAGGGACATTGTAGGCACCCAGACCACTTCATCTCATTGAAGTGGTCTGGGTGCAGTGTCCCTTTTGTACCTAGTGTTTACATTGCAGCACTAAAGCAGCCTCCAGTGGCTGTCTACCAGACATTAGAGGGCTTCGTAGATTGAAACAAACCTTTGGTCCGGTATCTGACGCTGGACATCCTCACGCTCTGCATGAGAACATCCAGCGTCAGATTTTTCCCCATAGGTAAGCACTGATTCAGTGCTTTCCTACGGGGAGGTCTAATGCGCGCACAACATTTGCCGCACATGCGCATTAGTGCCCGTTTGTCGCGGGACAACGGAGGGGGTGGAGCGTCGATCAAGCACCGAGGAACATCGTTGCTGGGATTAGGTATGTAAATAAAGGGTTATTTACCCTTTATTTACTCTGGCAAAGGGAGGGAGAGGGGGGCGATAGTGCCAGGAATACAAATTTGTATTCCTTGCACTATAGCAGACATAGGCAACCTTCGGCACTCCAGATGTTTTGGACAACACCTCCCATGATGCTATGTCAGTCTTATGGGTGTAAGAGCATTATGGGGGATGTAGTCCACAACATCTGGAGTGCCGAAGGTTGCCTATCCCTGCACTTTAAGGTTACGTTGACTTTGTGCACTATGCAATGCTCTTGCTGCTTCGGTCTCTCTAATACTGTGGCATGTTCGAGAGATTAGCATAGGGTAAGTGTTTTCTTATGGCTGCATCTTAGGGGTTTCCCTCCAGCACCACCTCCACAAGATACGGGATACTTGGGAGGTATTACTGTTTTCAGTGTTTTCGGTCGATAAGATTCTGTAATTAGGCTCATCATAATTGTCAGCACCAGGAGCAATGGGCTCTTGATCTAGCCCTGACGTGAGGGTTCAATTAATCTTAATTTAGCACAGAAACATACATGTCCCTATCTGCCTAAGATTGATAGGGGTTACTTTGTTGGGCGGCAGCTGCTATTTGCACTTTCCACCATTAGTTCAGCCCTCTGGCAATAGTGATAAGCTAGCAGAGGAACTGGGGAGACAGAATTGCAATGTTTCTTCAGCACTCCTCCTGCAATATCAGTATTGGAAGACGGATTGTGCAAGCTGTCACCTGGGAGCATAATATCCCGTAATATTGGGCAGATCAGGGAATGCACATGTTGGTTATGTCCTGACATTAGAGCACGGTACTGCACTGACACCTGTACTGCACATGTCATGGATAAGGCCACCTACCACATGGTACAAAGTTTGAAAATACAATGCCCATTGAAATAGAAATGTCATAATCATGTCACTTTTTTATTTTTATTAATATTTTTATTCTCATTACGCATATGAAGGTTTGATGTTCAGGTCACAGCTGCACTGAAGTTGCTGGTGTCAACATGTGACATCTCAGAAGTTACCCCATTCACCCTATGTTCACCCACCTGTAATAAACATACCTCCCAAAAATTGGAGGTGGCATGGCTTGGGGGAGGAGGGGGGGCCTATTTAGTGATGGACCAGTGAAGAGGTGGGACAATAAAGGGAAAATCCAGAGTGTTGGGACAGTAGCTCAGATTTGGGACTGTTGGGAAGTGTTAATATGGGATACTTTTCAAAGTAATCCTTGGGAATAGCCTGAGCGTGGCAGCTTAATTCTGGAACAGCCAAAATTTTAATATAATAAAATGAATAAACCGTTCTTTCTTTAACAGATTAGGACTGTTTACATTTTTAGCGTAACTGGGATTTTGATTATTTCAGAGTTGAAGACATTATATTATTTTTGGGTTGTGTGGCTTGACGGGACAGTTTTCGTGACTCTCATAATCTTGTTTCTATTTAAAATCTGCATATCTCTGATGCAGAATGTAGATATTTTGTCCTAACACTGTGATCTGCAGTATGTGTTGTGAATGGAATCTTACAAGCATTGACTAATTAATTGATTTGGCCTTGTTCCTGTAACCCCAGAACCCAATGTACTTGCCATCTGAAATCTTCAAACCAATGATGAGCTGTATTCAGTGACAGCTGCACCTTTGAAATATCTTGGCATATGGGTTGTCAGATCCATCTCAGCACAATTAGTCTTCTGGTTCCCATTCCGCTATGTCACAGATCAATTGGAAAATGAATTGCTTTAGATTACGCCCAGAGGTTGTAGAAATAGACAGTAGTGGATCATTGAAGGAGGCATGACTGAAAAAAGGCAGCAGAGCAGAACTGGAATATAAACATCACATGTAATATCTGGTACTTAGACAACCGCTGCCCTCGCAGTGCTACAATGCTACCTAAATTTGCCTATCTTAGCAAACAAATATGGGGATTCAGTTGCACCTTAAGGCCATAGTTTTAATTTGTAAACATATGATCCAATTCTGGCGTCCTGTGAATCGGGACACCGGTAGAAGGGAGGGAAAACATCGGGTCAGTGACATCATCACGTCATTGGCATCACGTCAGGTCTGCCCTGCCTTGCAACGAATTATGGGGGAGGTTTGCCCTGCTCTGAGAAGTGTCCCCAAGGAGGGCAAATCAGTTAAGAGAGCAGGAGGAGCGAGGGCAGACTGGAGGTGATCGTTACAGTAGTGTAACACTCACCTCTGTAATGAGAATGTGGTAGTAGAGCAGAGGCTGAGGTAAGTTGTGGCAGGCTTGGTTTAACCCCTTATGGACACATGACATGTGTGACATGTCATGATTCCCTTTTATTCCAGAAGTTTGGTCCTTAAGGGGTTAATCAAAGGGACAGATTTGTACAGTGAGAGCTGTAAATTTCTTGAATGCGCACCTGAAGATGTGGTGATTGCAGCTACTGCTGGTGCCTTTGTTAAGTGGGCTAGGTAAATATTTACCAAATTGTTTTGTCTTTGGAATAAAAAAACTGAAATTGTGTTTGGGGAATTCTTTTTCTGCACCCTCCAAAAATAATTTTATAAATCACAAACTATTATTATTACGATTATTTATAAAGCACACAGTACTGTACAGAAGGTATGACGTTATTTTATGTTATTGTAATTCCTAATGAGAACGTGTCTGTTCTATTGCTTCATGTTAACTAGTGTAGTTTTTGCAGCCTTAACAAAAGTCAATTGTATAATGTCAGTACAGAAAAGAACGGAGAGAAATTTAACAAAAAATGTGTAAAGCCTGTGTTGAATAAGGATTAATAGGGCATACTATAGTTTTAGTTTTATTTTTTTTACCTGGTAAATCATTTCTCATTTTTTTTACCTCTCTCCAATTGCAGTCAGAATCTGTCCCAGAGAGTCCCATTTTAAACTATTTGCGAACCTGGCTGACTGCTGGTTTACTGCTAAATCAAACAAATGATCTGCCCATCTGTATCTCGAGCTTATTGCAGTATCTTCTTTTATCTCCCAAGAAGCTGAACAAGCTGTTTTTGCTTTATAGTTGCATTTCCTCCACATTTAGATTTATATCATACTATCTACCCATAATGCTACTGTCATCTTTTGATTTTTCTATCATAAGTTATTTTGGGTTTTTTAAATACTTTTTTTGCATCCATAGTTTGTTTTTCTTAATGCTTCTAAAGATTTAAAGGACCACGCATACTCTAAACTAGGTGTAGTCAACCTAGTCCCTACCTCCCACTAGTGGACGGTTTTGGGTTTTCAGCTGGGCGGTGGTGGGTTCTGCAGTAAATGCATAGTGGGCCTCGATGGCCGCAGACCAAGGCCAGCAGCGGAGATTCTTTCATCTCCCCTGTTGGCCAATGCCAGGTCAGCCTTGCTGTAAGCACTCTCGGGATGGTGAGGAAATCAAAGATCTCCCTCACTGGTCCGCTAGCACTTAGTTCCAGCAGAGGGAGGGAAGAGCCTGGGAGACTCTGTGTTCCTCCCGCGAGCAGGCTGGTCGGAGCGTTGCGGCACGTTACCATGGCAACGCTCTGATACAGTGATGTGCTCGCAGGAGGACAGGAGTCAGCCAGAGGCTAAAGTGAACATGCCACCATTGGACCACCAGGGCTTGCAGCATTATGTCCCCCCCCCTCCCTGGTAAAAGGTAAGAAGAAGGGAGTGGGAGACATTACGATAGATTTTCACATCTCACCCACCTTCACACAGCATAGACCCTATGAACCCTTCACACACACACACACACACTGCCCTCTCACACTGACAAAGACTGCCTCCTCACACGGACAAATATTTTCATAAAAACAATAAAGCATTCAATGTACAAAAAATAATACCAATGAGTCTAAGTGCAGTTTATGTTAATATACTAACATTTTGAGCTCTGTGTTAACCCCTTAAGGATTGAGCCAAATGTACACGTTGTGATCAAAACAAAAGTCTGATCCTATCACAGTGCTTCCCTATATGATTGGCTGAGACTGACAAAGAGGCAGATCAGGGGCAGAGCCAGCATGATTCAAACACAGCCCTGGCCAATCAGCATCTCCTCATAGAGATGAATTGAATCAATGAATCTCCAAGAGGAAAGTTCAGCATCTGCATGTAGAGGGAGGAGACACTGAATGTTTGGATGCATTTTAGGCAGCCATGACCCAGGAAGGATCTCTAACAGCCATATGAGGAATGGCCAGTGAAGTTATCACTAGGCTGTAATGTAAACACTGCATTTTCTCTAAAAAGACTGTGTTTACAGCAAAAAACCTGAAGGTAATGATTCTACTCACCAGAACAAATTCAATAAGATGTAGTTGTTCTGGTGACTATATAGTGTCCCTTTAAGCATCCATTCTTCCTATGTAATCAATCAACGATGTATAATGGAGCTCCACAGCGATAATGTCCATCCAAACTGCAGTCATTATGTATATAAAGTAGTCTGCGTAAGTGTTATACTTAATGTCTTACTTAATTACTCTAGTAAGTACAAGTAAGTAGGGCCGACCTTACGCTTTTATGCGCCCTGTGTGAAAAATCTTCACAGTGCCCCTTCCTGGTCATACCCCTTCATCCACGTGTAGTGTGTGTATAGAGGATTTATTAGATTAATAATTTTTTTTTAAACAAATATTCATTCCCGCTTCTCTGTTGTTACCTTGCAGGGAGGGGAATCTGGTGTGCACCTCTGTTGGTTGCAGACCATGAGTAACTGTCTCGTGAGTTCAGGCACTCACAGTGTAAGAGCTTTGCTAAGGTAATCCGCAGCAATGTCCGAACCACGGGAGACAGCTACTTATGGTCTACAGCCACCAGTGGTGCAGGCTAGAGGTGCCAGACTTCCTCCCCAGCATTACAGAGGGGTAGATGAAGTAATATGTGTCGTTGTCCTATAGTACTGTGATTTGTTTTGCTTTGGAGCTCTGGATTTTCCTTTTTTACCTTGACCTCCTTCAAATTAAACAACTCACAGTAATGCGCTGTTTATCGATTTATTACTGAGCTTCCCAGCAACAAAAAAAGTCCTCACAGTATTATGTGGTTTGTACCAGTTTGTCACAGTACTCCATGACAATAAAATTCACAATAATATGCAGTGTATGAGCATGTCACAGAGTTCCACAACAATACAACTCCCAGTAATGTGCCTATTAGTATATCACAGAGCTCCCCAACTATAAAACACAGAGTAATGTTTTAGAGCTCCACTGTAATAAATCTCATAATACTATGATGTAATGTGTGTGATCAGCGTGATGGCTGTGTGTGATATGTATGCTATGTGTTGGGAGTGTGTGATCTTTGTAATTGGTATATTGCCTGTGTGTGATATGTGTGTATTGACTCTGTGTGATATACGTGTGTATTGAATGTGTGTGATTTTTGTGCTGGGTTTATTGGCTGTGTGTGGTCAGTATTTTATTCAGATAAAAATATGCATATAGACCAATGTGTGAATGTAGGTGTGTATTATTTTTATTTTTCAGAGTCACATGCACACAATTCCACAGTGAGATGCTCTGAATAAGTATGGTAGCCATCTGCCATTAATTTTTCCAAGTTTGATAACGAATAATATTAAAGGAAAGCTTCAAAACACGTAAAGCGCTTTAGCTTGATGAGTGTGTCCTCTTGGGTTTTGTTTTGTTTTTTCATTTTACAAAAAAGTGCAGATTTCAATAGCATTTGGCACTAAATTAGCTTTGTTACAGCCCCCTGCCTGCCTTCCAGTCAGCCAACAGGTCTTCTCAGTTTCTGGCTGTTAGTTGGGAATTGGACAGCCACAGAAAGTCTGGGCGGAGTCAGAAGGGGAGGGCTTACAAAGGCAACAGATACGAGAACAAAAACTGTTATTAGAGTATTATACCCCCAATAAAAAAATATATCATTAAATTCATGCATGTCTAGTAATAAATACTGAACAGTATTTATTACTAGAACATCTAAACCATACTGAGTTTTGTCTATTTTTGTTTTGTTTTATTCTTTTGATTTTTCTAGAATGCATTTAGCTCATTCCTTGGTTGCTTACTTTCCAAACGCTAATAAATGCATGATTTCCTGCCACCTAAATTGTACAAGAGTTACTTTTAACATCTTTCCAAAGTAACCTTAGTCCACTCTGAGCTATTTAAATTTATATCCATCAACAAGTCTTCCCTCCATGTGGAGATGATTTACCTAGGCATCCTTCCCTTATCTTGGGAAAATGTTTCTTGTGTGACAAGGCTTCAAATAAGTTTGCCAGAGCCAATGTTCTGACCTTGTGGCCACTGCTAACGTGTGATTTTAGAAATTACTACAGTCCTGTTCTTGTTCTACTTTTTAAATGCTAGCACATCTGTTTTCCTCCCGCTGACAATGCCGAGTCCTTAGTGATTAAGATAGCATACATCGTATTATCTCATTTTTTAAATCCTTGTGACATCAGTTAGCCATAAAGCAGGATTGTGATTTGTAACTAGTTTTCATTACTAAAAATTTTTTTTTACCTTTATCTAGTTTTGAAAAAATTTTGTAAGGTGTTTTAATGTTTTACATCCTATTTTTTTCCATCAATTTTTCATATTGCAGATGAGTTAAATATACCACTGTTGTCTCGTTAACTGGTTCACCTTATTGAAATTAAATTTGTGCTGCAATGTGTTGAGCAGCCCGTTAACATCGTCATTAAAATTGTCCATTGTGTTGCCCATTCTTCTTTGAATTTTTTTTTTTTGTTAACATTTTTTAAGAGATATTAATAAAACCATGTAGGATATTCCCTCACATTGGGGAGTCTTGATGAGATAGGAACATGTGATGGTTTTCTGATTACATCACAGGCTGAATGTTAAAAAGCCAAAAATATTAATTTTGCTACTAGGTGACAGGTGTCCATTAACCTATTGAGTTGTATATGGATATTCTAGCGTGTTTCATTTGACATTTCAGGTGCACATGTGTGTTTATGTTACAGATTTTGTACTCATACGTTGTACAGTGCTTATTTATCCTTTAATTGGCATAACTGATTAACAAGGCATCTTTACTTAAAATTGCTTGCATACATCAAGGCATGGGAGGTGTTTGTTCTGCACATTGACAACACTTGGGAATATTTTGGGGTATTGGTTTATTCACAGTAAAGTGTCTTTTGCAAGTTTTTTTAAGTATTTTGAAGTGGAGAATTTGCTAACTGTCCAGTGGGTCTGTTAATTTGTCTATTGGTCTTCTTTAAACAGATTGTGATCTCTGAATCTTTCATGTTTGACATAAGATATAAGGCGTTTTTATTTGATTCAATAGTTATAGCCGTGCTATTGAAAATTATCAGAAAGGTGGGATTGTGATCATTTACTGCCAGCTCTTAATTTGTCGACAATTTAAAACTATTTGTAGTCCTCAGCACAATTAAAGGATCACTAAGGACTCCAACACAAGTTAAATGCATTTGATAGGTTCTGCTTTCGTATTTATGATTTTCAATTTTTTTTTTTTGGACTGAGGATACAGCTAAAATGGATCAGTCAGTATAAGAAATAAACCCTTGTGTCCACCATCATAACTTTAATTCCCTCGCAATGTAAAAAGATGTTAAATATGTTTTGTATAGAAGTTGTTTTAATTATTTGCTTTGAAATGTCGATGTTCTAAATGCCACATGCATTTGTCACCAAAGTTATACCATTTAGGTATAATTGGCTAATCATCTGTAAATGGTATGTTGGTTCGACAAATTTGAGCAATTAGTCCTAGCACTTTACGTTAGCCTTCAGCTTTTATAGCTCGTGTACATTCCGAGCTGTGGAGATGGTCTGAGGTTGACAAAGTGGCATTTGTTTAATTCTGCAAACTTGAGCTAATATGCTTTGCATAACTATTAATCAGCTTTTTAATTATCTTAATTTAATACTTCTCTTGTACATGATTTACCCATAGTTTTTATTCCACTGTAAAATGAACATCGAATTTTACACCATTATAATTCTGAAGTCGTCATTTAAAGAGTAGATGATAAACCCTCGTTTTGTGCATTGTGTGGCTGTCAACTTCCATAAAGACAACTCTTTTATCAGACCTTTGACATGTTAATGGAGGAATCGGAAGGTTACGGGTTATATTTAAATGATGTTCTCAGTCACTATATCGTTGACACTTTTGCTCCTACCTGTTAAAGTGCAAATTATAAATAACTACTTTTCTCGAAGGTGTTCATTATACCTCATTGGGTCTTGTTATAGAAAATGCAAATGTAATTTAAAAGTGTCAACCTTTAGAATGAGCAATTACTTGTTCATTTCAATGCATTTTTTATTTTTTTATTGTCGGCATAAGAACTTGTTTTTATTTTTCATGCGAAACCTCTTCAGTAAGTTTCTTTGCGACATACATTCAGTAAGTGCGTGCCAACATTCTAATGTCTGTTGTAACAAGCCTGTAGTTTTCTCGTCACCATTTTCAATTTGGGTCACCATATACCCTTTCTGTCATTCAGGGCAAGTTTAATTTCTTAACAGTATAAAAGCAGAATTGAGCATGGGTGCACATGAGGTTGACTTGCATTTTAGAACATTTACTCTAGTAATCCTTGCCACATGCTCAATAATGGGGCGGCTGCGTCAGTTCTAGAATTGGGGTTAGGTAATAGGATGGGAAACTCTATTTAAAGAAATATATTATGCAATTTGTTCACACTGTGTATTTTCACATTAACATTTCCTGCTGTGTTTTTTCGCTAATTCATATATACGTTTTTTTCATCTTTATTTTATTTACAACAGCCTTGTATTTTCACATTCACTTTTGCTCCTCTGTATTTTTTTGGGGGTAGCACATTGGCATTTTCATTTTATTTCTCTCAAATATATGTAGCCAATATGTTAACCTGTTTATCTGTCTTCATTTTAATTACTGAATTGGATTAGGGATGTCAAGTACCATGAGCACTGTGCCTATCTCATGTAATTTACTTAATATTTAAAGTTGTCACTGCAGTGACATATAGTTCACATTCACACTGGAAAATCATTACAAGAATGGCATTAGTAAGCAACATTTGCAGCATCTTGTCCTCTAATTAATGGATACGATATCTCTCATTTTTTCTAGTAAGTAACTCCCAGTGCATATGGATTTTTAAACTTAATTATCTCAAGATTATAAAAGATGTCATTTTTGCACTGTATGTGCATTCTAACACATGTGGAAAGCTTAGACAGTAATTGTCATTTTTGACATAAGAGTATTTTTAAACCTGGCGTATTTAGGCTGCTAGCAGTTGTGATATTCATATTTTTATTCATAACTTTATTTTAATATGTATTGATTAATAAAAGTACAAACTGATATCACTAAAACCTTAAAAAAAGGAGTGATATTTGCATTTCATTCATCCTAATGTTGCCCATATCCTAGAGTATAATTAAATTGGAACAGTGTGCATGTTTCACGTATATTTGTCAGAATGAATACCTCTTTAAAATTAATAGGGACTTGAGAACACAACTTGCACAAATATGGGACAAATAAGTACTCATGCTTGAATAGGCAAGAAAACAAAATAATCATACATTTTAACAGAATTGTTTCGTACTGGTTGATCATCATGATTAAATCTGACTTTACAAGGAGCACATGGCAGTCTGTGTGGTTTTGTTAGCATGATGCACATTGCATTAATCTGAATGAGGTAGTACGGTACATTTCAGTATTTCATTTTAAAGGAACACTCCAATCACCATAACCACGACAGCTTGTAGTGATTATGGTGCCTAGTGCTCCACCCCGCACAATCTATGAAGTCATCTAGACTCCTAACATCCTCTACTAATGCCGCCAAGCCAGAAATTCCTTAGCAGGGACTTTGATTAGCTCTCCTGAGCTAAGTCCTACATTGCAAGGCTTACCTCATTGGATGAGCGTGGTCAGATGCAAGGAGAGCTTTTGCCCATTCTCAAAGTTCTCATATTCTCTGTTTTTGTTGCAGTGCATTAACTTGGCTCTCCCCAAGTTAAAAGGGTAATCCAGACATGGACATTGTGCTAATTGTACCTAGAGAATTATCAGCTACACCTTGCTGAAGAGGCACAAAGAAGGCCAAAATGATAGTCTGGGATTGCTGTATAAAACTTGCCAGCATTTCAAATCTATCCTTATGGGCAGGATCAATCTGATATATATATGGTATAGTTTTTCTGTGTAATGGCACAAGCAAGTAAAAACATTTTTAGAACTGAGCGCGGACTAACCGACGGGAAGGCTATTGTGGTTTCTCTGAGCGTTTTCCTGTTTTCAGAGTTCTCATATTCTCTTTTTTTGATCTAATGAAAGTTCTTGCTTAGGAACTGCTCGGTCTCCAGCACTAGTTGTGTGAGTGGGGAGATGCACCTGGTGGACTCCAGGTAAGACCTCAAACAATTCAAAAACAGTTTAGCTATTTAAAATGGGGGTTTGCCAGCGCACTCCAGGCATCCTAACCACTACAGTGAGCTACAGTGGTTAGGGTGCTTGGCGTGTTACTTTAAGGGATTTTTTTTTATTTTGTATTTTATTGAATTTTTGCATATGGATACAATAACACAAGCATACATTTTCTTTACAAAGCAAAGACAATGGATTAAAAGAACAACATATATAAAAAAAAAAAAAAAAACAGAGTATATATAATTTAACAATTGGCATTTCCAGAGTTATTCTGTATCCTAAAATTCCAATAGGAGGTGCATTACAAATTGCACTGCAACTACAAACATGACAGTCTCAATGATTTTAAATGCCTGACCAACATGTGCCCTGTGTCCCTACCTAGACATAAGAATTCAAGATAAGAATAAAAAGCCAAATCCCCCAACAGAGTGAATCAGCCTTTCCCATAACCACATTCGTGCGGCCTTGGGAAAAGGAAAAGGTCCGTGCAGTCAGGAGACACTGGTCCTGAAAGACGTCCTCTGGAACCAAGGCTGACAGATTTTGTCCAACGATGCCCTCTGAGCCAGCAGGATTGTGGACATAATTTCATATTTAAAGTTTTGTTTAATTTTCTTGATAACCTGACAAAGCTAGGACTCTGTGTCCACTCCCAAGTCAACGACACAAGGCTCCTTGTAGCCCCCAAAAAGTTTTGGTGTGTGACGGGGTGGTTTTAGGGAACAGCAACAAGAGATAATGTAATGGCTGATGTAAAGGAAATAGTATAAATGGTATAAAAAATAAAATAACTTCATCTTAGCCAACAGTTGAGCTCTTTGTTTCTAAATGGGTTCCGATTTTGGGCATGACCACCAAATATGCAGCATTGTATCTTCTCGTTCACCGCCAACAAGTGGAAGGGACATTAGGATAAATGTGGTGGAGTCTACTGGGAGTTAAATACCTTCTGTAAACTCGTTTCTGATGGGCTTCGATGTGGTTGCAACAGTGAAGTGAAATAGCGATAGAGAGTACTGTAAAGGACATTTTTAAAGCAATTGTATACTAAAAAAAAAATAACCATCTAAATGTTTGCCATCTATTGGTTGTACTTGTAATATAACACACGGGCAATGTTTTGTTTTTTGTGTGATTCTCCTTAAACAACGTTTTTGTTTTTGTTTTTTTTTAAATCTTTTCTAGGGCAGCAAACAGCTGCTGAACAGCTATCCTGTATACATCACTAGTAAGCAATGGGATGAGGCAGTTAACTCGTCTAAGAAAGATGGAAGACGACTCCTCCGGTACCTCATCAGATTTGTATTCACAACAGATGAGCTAAAATATTCGTGCGGACTTGGGAAAAGGAAAAGGTCAGTGCAGTCAGGAGACACTGGTCCTGAAAGACGTCCTCTGGATCCTGTTAAAGTTACATGTCTCAGAGGTACTGCATCTTTTCACTCAGCGTAAACTGTCCATGATCTCATTTCATTGATATCATTTATACGGAGTTTCTGCCAACCCTCCACATTCTCTGGTTGCCGCAAGCTATGCATTCCTCTCCTTCAAAACTGCACCTGCCTTTAAAATCAATACTGCATCGTCACTGATTATTTATGGCCTTGCTATATTGATCAGTCAAGTTCCTAGGCAAGTGAATATGTGTATTTGGCCACAAAGTTCTAAAATGTTTTCAATATGCTTTTCCTGTTTTCTCAGGAATTCAAGAATAGTGTGCAGTCACAATCAGGTGTCAAAGATAGAACGTAGAATGGAACACAGATAGTAACTGATGTATTATTGTGCTTTACATGGGAGATATGCCACAAAAAAACAACAAATATGACAATTATTTCTAGGGCTGTCAGTGGGTTTCCAGGCATTTGTTAGCAGTTGATACCAGTTTTTGAGAGGACTCAAAGATTAAGGATATTTGCGACAGATTAGGAGATAACAACAATTTAGGTCACTGAAAGTTTAATTTAGAAGTTCAAAAGTATGTAGAATTATGTGACTACGTTTGAACAAATTAAGCTCTTTTTGAGTTTTATTTCTGTGAACTGCTTGTTCTACACTTGAACATACCAATAATCTGAAACCCTAAAAAAAGAGACCATTTGATTTAGACCTAAAACCAGGACTGTCCTTAAAAAAAGAGTGCAACACCTTGGAGGCATGAGATAGCTTGGTACTAAAGCTTTAAATAAATGCCACATGGTCTCTACACAAATATCACTCATTCGTTGAAGTCTTCTCTTGACTGTTTTCAGTTACTGCCCCACAAAGGAGCAGCAGATTTCCATAGGATTCCCTTCTGTTTGTTTAGTTACACTGTGGCTGTGAATTTTGTATCTAATGTAGGGGGATTCAAACGAGACACATGGCGGGGAATGAGACACATGGAGGGGCTGGGGGGAGGAAATGAGACAAGGGGGAGGGCCTGGGGAAATGAGACACGTGGAAGTACTGGGGAGGAAATGAGACATGTGGAAGGCCTGGGAGGAGGGGGAATGAGACACGTGGAAGGCCTGGGGGGGGAGGGGAGAGGGGGGAGAATGAGTTACTAAGATCACATATATCGATACTTCCTATCACTAAATTCACAGACTAATTGTCGACTCCCCTTCTTAGTTGCAACAGCTAGTGCAGAGCATTATGTTGCAAAATGCAGATGACAGGCTTACAGTTACTGTATACATTATGTTGGCAAAATGTATTGATGAAAATATATGTCCCTAGACAGAGACCTAACTAGAAACCACCGGGTCCCAGTGCAAAAATTGATCTGGGGCCCTCCCCCCATGTCTCATTTCCCCTTACCCCCTCCCTCCCTGGCCTCTACGTGTCTCATTGATAGTGAGGAACTTTCTCTGTCAGGCCTTTTCCCTTGCCATGGCCTTTTGTATCAATTTGCAACACTGTATTTCTCCTCTTCTCCAAACCATATGGTGAGTAGCTCCAATGAAAGATACAAGACAAGGTAAGGTTCAAAGTGACTTCTGAGCCTTTAATGAGCCGTGTAACAGCTTTTATACAGCAGGAAACAGGGGTGGTCGTTACAAGCAGTATCCAATCCCAATAAAATCATCTATCTTATCTTAACATCTTAACCTATAGCAAGCTTGCAGATGTATATTCATGTTCGGGCCTTGCTCAAAGCTAAGTTTCACTATAACTTCACACTTCAAACTAATATGCATGTGCACTACGAAATACACATTACTATGCAGTTATGATCAAAGGGAGAAAAACCGAAAATAAGGCCAACAGAGAGAAGAATACCGGATATAACACCTATTACTTGATACATGATGTTCTACAGCAAATAACACCTATTACTTGTTACATGATGTTCTACAGCTCCTAACACCTATTACTTGTTACCATAAGGGTGTGCACCCTAAAGCACAAACACACACGCCGCGTGTATATATATATATATATATATATATATATATACACACACACACAAACACACGCACACTGCTGTGTGTGTGTGTAGGCGCTGTGTGTGTAGGCGCTGTGTGTGTAAGGGTGCTGTGTGTGTTTGTTTGTTAGGGTGCTGTGTGTGTTTGTGTGTGTAAGGGTGTTGTGTGTAAGGGTGCTGTTAGTGTGTGTAAGGGTACTGTTAGTGTGTGTGTGCTGTGTGTGTAAGGGTGCTGTTAGTGTGTGTGTGCTGTGTGTGTATGTGTAAGGGTGCTGTTAGTGTGTGTATGTGTGAGGGTGCTGTGTAAGGGTGCTGTGTGTGTGTGTGTGGGTGCTGTTTGTGTGTATTGTGTGTGGGGGGGGCGTTTAGTTAATATCACCCCTCCCTTCTTACCTTTTGTAGAGAGGGGGGACCGTTCTGCTGCCTTTCCTGGTGGTCCAGTGGTGAGTGAACTCTAGCCTGCTGGCAAGAGCTCCTTGGGTCCTCTCCTGCCTCCCTCCCTGCCTGTGGGTCGGTGAGGGAGATCTTTGAGTCCCAGTTTCTCCTTGTGTTTTTCTCCCCCCTCCCTTGAATGATTCTCTCCCCCCACCCTAGCCCCTCTGTTGATTCTCTCCCCCTCCTCTTTCCCTCCATGATTCTCTCCCCAGCCCCTCCATGATGCCCTCCCCAGCCCCTCCATGGTGCTCTCCTCCCTCCCAAGCCCCTCCATGATGCTCTCCTCCCCTCCACAATTCCTCCCTTTTCTGCCCCTCCATGATTTTCACCATCTCACCAGCCCCTCCATTATGCTCTCCCCTTTCCCCAGCCCCTCCATCATGCTCTTCCCCCTCCATCATGCCCTCCCTCTATTATGCTCTCTCCCCCCTCCCCTGCCCCTCCATAATGCTCTCACCCTCCCTGCCCCTCCATCATGCTCTCCTCTGCCCCTCCATCATGCTCTCCCCACTCCCCAGCCCTTCCATCATGCTCTCTCCCCTCCCCAGTCCTTCCATCATGCTCTCTCCCCCTCTCTCCTGCCCCTCCATGCCTCTTTTCCCCCTACCCTCCATACCTGCTCAGCGTGCACAGTTCCCAACCTGCCTGGAAGAGCTCTCTCAGTGAGCACTTCATGTCAGACTGTGCACCCGCTCGCACTACACACAATGACTGGCTGGAGGGGAGCACTGTGCTGAGTGCTCCCCTCCTGCCGGTCTTCAGGGGTTGGCTGTGCGGCCAGGCCCTTTGCGGTGACGAGCCTGGTTGCAGTTGAGACCCCTGCGTCCATGGTAGTTCCGCCACTGCCCCTAGAGCTTGATGATATTTAGCAATGGGTACTCAGGGAGCTTAGGTTAGTAGAAGCCAAACTATTATCTTCTTTATATTGAAATTTATATTTATTTTAGGTACAATCTAAGTCAAGAAATTTCAGACCGCTGAGTTTAACATCTGTTTAAGGGTTATAAAGGATCAATATTCAGAAATTCAATCTGAGCATATGATATAGATAAGTGTAAGAAATGGAAAAATAAAGGTGTTATGATGGACGCTTCATGTCAAACTAGCCTAATTGCATTCTATGAATAAGTCAGCGTAAGTAAATATCAGTGTTGCAGTGGACGTGTTCTATTTGGATTTTGCTACGGCATTTTATAGAGTGCCACATGAGAGGTTACGGTATAATTTGAAGGCCATTGTTTTAGATGAAAATTATCATTTTTACTTATACCTAAGTAATACACAGATAAGGTAATACACTCTGAGCAAGATATTACTTCTTTATCCAGATCTGGACACATTAGATTAAATTCAAAGTAAGTAAAGGCATTTTTTTTTTTATTTTTTTTTTATTATTCATGAAAACATTACAACAATGTAAGCGGGTAAGATAATGTAATATGTTCAAGATGTTGTACTATGTTATATAGAACAAGGTTAGCAAACCTTCAGGCCTCCAGATGTTTTGGACTCTTAAAATCATAATGCTGGCAAAGTTTTTAGGGGAGATATAGTGCACAATATCTGGAGTGCTGAAGTTTGCTACCCCTGTTATAGAAGTAGCAGGGTGCCTACACAGCTGATGAGTTCTTGTCTAAGTAATTACTGGAAAGTAATTGAACCATGAACCATGCCACACAACTCTAAGATATAGCTACCGTATATACTCGAGTATAAGTCGACCCGAATATAAGTCAAGACCCCTAATTTTACCCCCAAAAACTGGGAAAACTTATTGACTCGAGTATAAGACTAGGGTGGGAAATGCAGCAGCTACTGGTAAATTTCTAAATAAAATTAAATCCCCCCAAAATTATATTAATTGAATATTTATTTACAGTGTGTGTGTGAATGCAGTGTGTGTGTGTGTGTGTGTATATATGAGTGCAGTGTGTGTGTGTGTGTGTGTGTGTATGAGTGCAGTGTGTGAGTGCAGTGTGTGTGTGTATGAATGCAGTGTGTGTATGAGTGCAGTGTGTGTGTGTATGAGTGTAGTGTGTGTATGTGTATGTGATGCAGAGCCTTGGTGGGGGGTGGGCATTTTTATTTTATTTTTTTATATTATTATTATTATTTTAATATTTTTTATATTATTATTATTATTTTAATATATATATATTTTTATGTTGTTTTTTTTTCGTCCCCCCTCCCTGCTTGATACATGGCCAGGGAGGGAGGCTCTCATTCCCTGGTGTTTCAGTGGATGGGCTGTGTAGGAGGGGGCTGGCAGGAAGCGTTTACTTACCTTTCCTGCAGCTCCTGTCAGCTCCCTTCTCTCTCGTCCGGTCAGCTCCACTGCCGCGCGGAGCGTTGCCACGGCAACCCGTGGCAACACTCTGACCCCGCGGCTCTCGCGAGACCTACAGTGGAGGAGAAGGGAGCTGACCGGACCGGAGGAGAGAGAAGGGAGCTGACAGGAGCTGCAGGAAAGGTAAGTTACAGCTCTCTGCATGTGTATGAGTGCAGTGTGTGTATGTATGAGTGCAGGATGTGTGTGTATGTGATACAAAGCCTTGGTGGGGGGGGGGGCATTTTTATTATTTTTTTTAATATTATTATTATTATTTTATTTATTTTTTATATTATTAGTATTATTTAAATTTTTTATATTATTATTTTTTTTTTATATTATTATTTTAATATTTTTTTTTATTTATTATTACTATTATTATTATTATTAAAAAAAAATTTTAATATTATTTACATTTTTGTTATTTTTTTTCCGTCCCCCCTCCCTGCTTGATACATGGCCAGTGAGGGGGGCTCTCATTCCCTGGTGGTCCAGTGGATGGGCTGTGTAGGAGGGGGCTGGCAGGAAGCGTTTACTTACCTTTCCTGCAGCTCCTGTCAGCTCCCTTCTCTCCTCCGGTCCGGTCAGCTCCCCTGTCAACTCCACTGCCGCTCGGAGCGTTGCCACGGTAATCCGTGGCAACGCTCTGACCCCGCGGCTCTCGCGAGACTTACAGTGGAGGAGAAGGGAGCTGACCGGACCGGAGGAGAGAGAAGGGAGCTGACAGGAGCTGCAGGAAAGGTAAGTTACATCTCTCTGCCAGCCCCCAACAGGACCACCGGGCTTGTAATGAGCCCGGCGGTCCTGGTCTGTATTATTGCAATGTAAGTTGCCATAATACAGACACTCACTCGAGTATAAGACGAGTGGGGGTTTTTCAGCACAAAAAATGTGCCGAAAAACTCGTCTTATACTCGAGTATATATGGTAAGTGGGTTTACTCATGGACAACAGGCGCAATGTCAGTTAGCAGATGCAAAGCCCTGTAAGGTACTGCGATATATAGATAGGGTATTAATTGTATAAATATTCTTAAATATACTGTTTATTAATCAATGACCAACGCTTACCTTGTATAAGTGGTGAAATGGTGTGCACCAGTTTGTTTTCGTTTTTTTTTGTTTTCTTTAGAAGGATAAATGGAGACTAAAACAAAATCATAAAGGAGGCCTTTAATACCGTGGTTAAGAGGAAAGGCTAGAAAAGTTACATTTGCTTAGTTTGTGATAACAACTATTTACAGTGTCAGTACATACATATAGTTACAGAGATATAGAGGCTGAAAAAAAGATGTGTCCAAGTTCAGCCTTTCTCACGTCTGTTTTTGTTGTTGATCCAAAAAAAGGCAAACAACTTAGTATCTTTAATGCACTTTAATATCTGATCAGAATTAAGGAATCCTCTTACTTCATCAGGTGTATCACTTGGAAAATAATGACTGTATTATCTTATTTGTCTTTTAACCCCTTAAGGACCAAACTTCTGGAATAAAAAGGAATCATGACATGTCACACGTCATGTGTCCTTAAGGGGTTAATGGTCAGTAGGCTGTGAAATATTTTGTCCAGCCTTTAGCATTCACATAGTTAATAATGATGAGAAGGGGGGATGGGGTTCTTTAAAGGTTTTTTTTGTATTATTATATTTTGTTATCCATTTTCCTATGTGCCTTAATTTGTGTAAATCATTTTAATATCCATTTGCTGCAAAGAAGGGGCTGATATGAGCTCATTAATTAAAATCTATAAACATCAATGAACATTTGAACAAATGATATCATTCCATAAGTACAGATTAACAGATGTGCCTTTTCATCATTATTTAAACCCTTGCCAGATGTTACTGCTATATAAATTAAGCCAGCAGGGATTACAAACTATAAACTAATATACTGAAGCATTCTTGAGCAGAATTACTGTATTAAAGGGATGCAGACTTTTCCTGTTTGATTAATAAGATATGGATAATTGGTTGCATAGATACTGTGTAGCAAACTATGCCCGTTTAAAAAAAGCAAAACAAAACTGGATGTATGTATGTACGTACATACATGCATGCATACAGACATACATGCATACACAGATGTCAATTCAAGGTTAAGGCTGTGCTAATTTCAGCAGATCTCGGAAGGAATTAGCAGACTTTAAATTCTCAGCATATTTTCTGTAACTTTACAACCACAAGATACTCCAAGTGGCATCAGCTATCTAAGGCTGTAGTTGTTTTTTGTAATTCTCCAAATAATTAGCCAAGATGCATATATCCTTCATCTATGCGCTAGAAGTTATCGTGTTACTTTTTTGAGTAGCTATTATACCATACACACAGGCAAACTTTATTGAAACAATATTATTAAGGTTATATTATTATATGTATCGCATATTTCTGATGCCGTCCTTCCAGATATTTGATATTCCACAGATTTAGACCACACTTGATTATTTAACTATATGATTATTGGAGTGATACATATTTAAGTCTAATATGCACTTATATTAATGGATGTATACCTTGTTAAAAAAAAATGGAAAATAATCAGTAATACACAGTGCAATCACTGCTACATTGATATCAAGAGCAGCCTTCAGGCATCCTGTGTAAAACATGAGTGATTTCCCTCCCCCAATTATACAACCCCCACACCCCATAGTTATTATTATCATTTGGTTTTAATAATTGTAAAAGCCACTTGTAAAACAGTCAATCTTTCACAGACACACTTACTTAACCCCTTAAGGACCAAACTTCTGGAATAAAAGGGAATCATGACATGTCACACTAGTCATGTGTCCTTAAGGGGTTAAGAGTGTCTGAATATTACCGTTAATGTCATAGTGTATTAGAATGAATAAAATATAGTTTGTCCGTATCGGTGTATGTGACAGTTTCTTGTTGTTGAACTATTGTAAATGCATGTGGCTGCCCCTCCAGCATTGTGCATTGTGTGAGCAGTGTGCAGCAGAGCTTGTGTTTGCAAACTATCAGTGCGTGTCAGTTTTTGTGTGTGTGTGTGTGATGTCTTGTCAGATGTTTGTGAAGTGTAACACACATGATGTTCAAGCAGCCTTAGAGGTGTAATGAGTGTCATAGGAGATATCATTGTTAAACATCTGACAACATGAGGCACTAAATGTGATTCCTAACTACAATTCCCATGATGCTTAGTCAGGCACAAACCTCTCTAAAGGGACACTATAGTCACCAGATTTTATTTGTTCTGGTGAATAGAATCATTCCCTTCAGGCGTTTTGCTGTAAACATTGTCTTTTCAGAGAACATGCAGTGTTTACATTACAGCCTAGTGATAAAACCACTGGCCACTCCTCAGATGGCTGCTAGAGCTGTTTCCTGGGGCAGTGCTGCACAGTGAGCAGCACTACCATTCAGTGTCTCCACCCTCTGCATGGAGACACTGAACTTTCCACATAGAGAAGATGCTGACTGAGCAGGGCTGTGTTTGACTTGTGCTGGCTCCTTGACAGTCTCCGCCAATGCATAGAAACAAAGAATGTAAAGGCAGATAAGAACCATTTGGCCAATCTAGTCTGCCCAATTTTCTAAATACTTTCATTAATCCTTGGCCTTATCTTATAGTTAGGATAGCTTTATGTCTATCCCAAGCATGCTTAAACTCCTTCACTGTGTGAACCTCTACCACTTCAGCTGGAAGGCTATTCCATGCATTCACTACCATCTCGGTAAAGTAATACTTCCTGATTATTATTTTTTAAACCTTTGCCCCTCTAATTTATAACTGTCTTCTTGTTGTGGTAGTTTTTTTTTTTTTTTTTTTTAAATATAGTCTCCTAGAAACTATAGCAAGCAGATGCCTGTTGCAAAACATTCTATATTATTTGTCTATTTAGATTCTGTAATATAAATCTGGAATTGCCAGTTCCAAACGTGGTAGACTGCTTATCATAAGCACCAAATTGAACCCTTTGAGTACCATTGATGACATTAATGTTCTACTTCCTTATTTTCAATCCATGTGTCTAAGAAGCTCAAAATATTTTCAATCATTCTAATATGGTAACCAGACTTGTTATTAATACAGGAGGGAACTTTGGTGATGTCTAATCCAATCCATTTTGATCTTAATACTATCCATATGCTATGTTTACTTGTTTTTAAATGCGTGATTCTCATAATGTGTTTTTTTATTTCTCCCAAACATCCCAGAGTTTATTAGGATGCATTGCACGTCAAATCCTGACTGGTGGATGCCATCAGAAGAGCAAATAAACAAAGTTTTCAGCGATGCTGTAGGTCATGCTCGTCAAGGACGTGCTGTAGGTACTTTCTTCCATAATGGCAATTCATATTACGATGGAATAGACCATCACGTTTGCCAAGAGGATATCTTCAATCGAAGCTCTCATGATGGATCTGGAGATTGATGTCAAGGGAGGAACGGAATCGAAGATTTCAGAAAAACAAAGACAAAACGAACATGAAGCGAGCAGAGTTAGCCACAAGATGAACAATAATAGTGTAATAGTCCGTTTAACGTGTCTTTAATGTTTCGTACTGCAAATGTGGCCAAGGACTGGTGGAGGACAGCTGTGGAAGCTGCAATACGTCTCCTTATAAAAACTGCCCAAAGTGTGCTATGAGCCAGATGTAACATGAGTGAGTAAGAAAGCGAACATCATGATAAAGTTTCAGGGACTTGCTCTAGACCCTACGTTCTGACTGTTATACTGTTGCTGAATGCAGCATAGTTTATTGGTACATGGTCTTCAGGCTCTGATTGTAGCTGAACATGTACATGTTGGTCTGTTCTGTAGAATTAGCTTTAATAGAATTCTCATTTTCATTCTAAATCTAGCTCTTAAGGACCAATGGATCTCCAATTGCTTTGTACTAAAGCTCCAAGCACTCCTCATATTCATAGCTCAATAACAAATTGTAGGGTCACATACTGTTAAATCCTGCAAGTCTACCTTGCATTAATCCTTCAGGACCAAGATTAGCAAATTCATTGCTATCATGGATGGCTCTCCACCCAAGTCATTGGTCTTGAATTAGTTAAATAAAATATTTTGGGTGGAACAGAGTGGAATCACATAATCATAATGTTAGACACTAAAATAAAAAGTTCTGTAGTACACATGGCAAATTTATGACAGTGATATGTTAAGTTACACCTGAAAATTAAAAAAATAAATAAAACATATTAAGAGAAACATTAAATTATTGCATTAATCAGACAGTATATTATATAGTTAAAAACAACTAAATTCTGGATTGAGCCAGAGACCAAAGGGAACTGGATTAACAAATTTGGAAGTAATGTAAACATATGTACATTTTATTTAATATTTTATGTAAGTAAGGATTAGACTTATTTGTACCATACCTCTCAAGTGTTCTTATGAAGAAACACATGTCTGCCTTCCTTATTTAGTGTATTTTTTTATTTTTCTGGCATGTGAGAATGTGTAGTGTGTTTTTGAATGTTTCGCAGTGGTATACAGTAATACAGCCACTATAATCTATGAATAGACCCCAGTAAATGTGTGTATAAATATATACAAATAAATGAATAATACAGGTGAATGAGTGTTAAAATTAATTGGCAGTACTTTCTGATGGATCAAAACTCACCAGATCTGCTTGGCATTGACATATCATATCATACCTCTCAATATTGATGCCATGTAGAGTTGGGCAGGGGTGAGTGAAGTGTGTTGATAATGGGTACAAGATTTTTTTTCTTTTCTATTTTGACCACCATGTGAGTGTGTTTTAATTCCCCTTTATAAATACTTATCTTATATTCCCTGCCCTTTTCCCAGTGCTGAATGAGCATCAGGGAGTGTTCAGAATATATATATATATTATTATTATTTACTTTTTATTTCTTTTTTTACATATGCATAATTTACACTCAAATCATATAAATGAATGAAAACTATGTAACTTTTTTTTTTTTACTTTTTCCTTTTCAGGGGAAATATTAAGAGTTTCAATGACAAACGTATTGACCCAAACATAATAACACAGACACTCGCTGACTCACACTCACCCTTACTGATACATACATACACTCACTCACTCACACACACGTCCCAAACACCACCACCATCTGGTGGACATTTTACTTCAGTGTGTGAAAGGTTAAAAGCTGCCACCATCAACACAATTTAGAAATGGGACCCCTTGGGTTACCCCACAAAATCAAATTTGAAAAACCCTCAAAACACAATTTGGCAAAATTATTTGTGAAACCACAGTCTCTTTGGTAACATGATTCTTATACCAAACAAAGGCACAACTTAATAAAGGAATGCTTATTATGAACAAATGCATAGTGCATACAAATGCAAAATTTGTAACACAAATTTTAGCATTTGATAAAGAAAAAGGAAATCCACTAAATATTTATTTTAGCTCTCAGTATTGATTACATTACTTAATTTTATATCAGGGATTATATAAACCTTTCTGCTCATCTCCAGTTCTAGCCCAGATCCAGTGTTACGTGTGGCAATTTTTTCAAAACCTGGGTGAAAATGTACAATGAAATGTACTTATGTACAGATGCTGCTAATCTCTTTGTAAACAGGTCAGATCATCTTGTTGAACCCAGACAATTAATTTAAAAAACAAACTTGGTATATTTTTCATACATAAGAATAATTTTCAAACTTTAAGCAAATCACCCTTGATTGAACTAACAATAAACAAGTGTTTTGTCAGCTTATCTGACAAAGTACAGTAATATATATCACTGGATACCAGTCACATATTCCTCTGCCCTATTTGGTTGACAAACAGGAAAATTAAATATGCCATAATTGCTGTACCATTTCAGGGTATCTTCCAGACACCAACAACATTTAATCCATTGTTTTCCAAATGCAGTTCAACTCATAGGTCTAATTAAAGGCAGCCGAATTAACCCTTACCATGCTCTAATCAATCATACCACCTCTATTGGGTAACCTGTCTATGCATCCACTACACACATAACATTAACCAACTATATTTTGACAATTAAACCATGAATACACACCCCGTTGATTGACAATAAATATTGTTCATTGGGCATGGCAACACACATATATTGTGAACTCCCATTAATATCTCCCTTCTCAATAGCTGCCTAATGTCCCTTCAGTGTTGTCACTGGGTCTACTCCACAGGAATCTCGGGCGCTGGGTATGACATCTTGCATCCCATAGGCCTGGAAGACAGCGATTGTCTGCCAGCGCTATTTGCATCTTCTCTCCTTCAGTCCCCTATCTTTAGCTAGGTTATCACCTTTTCTTTTACTCCAGCCTTGTACAGCCCACTGGAAAATCTCCTGGTTTCCTGGTGGCCTGGTCGAGTCTTAGGTGCAGGTCAAGGCTCTTGCAGATCAGGTGCCCTTTAATGGCTGCTTTGCAACCCACGCATCACCTCTGGAGTTGAGGCACTTAGCATGGCATCAAGGTTCAGTATGTGGCAACATTGTGGAGTCACGCTAAGCCACAGGCAAAGTAGGACCCTTAGCATCTAAAATTATTGTGATTTCTCTTAGTGTTGTCACGAACACACCCTACTCCAAGAGTGCGCGTGACGTAGTTGGGGTTGTGAAAGGGTTAAAGTTCACTATTTGTCTGCACTAGACCGGAAATAATGACAAAATCCCCCTTTAACACCACCCACACTTAAACATAATACTATAACTATTACTATTTTAACGCTGCCACCACCAAGACAATTTATAAATGGGGTGCCTTGGTCCCCCAGGTAAATCAATAATAAAACCCACCAAATATTACTTAGCACAATATTTAAGGAATTATAAAAATACTAACTAGTCTCTTCAGGTAACGTGATTCTTAACCAGACAAAGGCAAAACTTAATAAATGAATGTTTATTATGAGCAAAAGATAGTCACAGTGCATATAAAAATATATGATAAACAAATTATTTACACCAACAACAGATAAAACCAAAAAGGATAAAATAAAGAAGTCCTAATTACTCACTTAGGTTTTCAAAGTACAACTTCTGTCCAGGGGGTCTCTGGCAAGGAAAGATGGTGACTCACTCAAAATTAGATCTTGGCCCCAAGCAAGTACACAAACACCCTTCAGAATCACAGGAGATATACCCTGTGAATTGCCACACCTCATCCAGGGGTGGAGCAATAGGGATACTAAGTGACCACCTCCTTTGTTCCAGAAACCAACAGCCACATACAAACTTTTGGTTTTATCTCCTCTACTATACTTGCCACAGAAATAATAATTGCCTCTATGAATTTGTTATTGTTTTCCCATTCCAAAGACATGTTGCACGCCCCACCCACGATCCAATAGGATGGACATCACAATTCCTGCCACACGGTTTAAGTTGTGCAACTCATGTTTGGGCTTAATTAAAAGATTGGGCTTGTCCCATTCCAAATATAATAAAAATGAGGCTTAATTATTAACCTGTGGGTAAGTATGAATGTTTCACTTGGATAAGATACTGGAACACAAGGATCTTCATGAAGCTAATCCCATTACCATATCAAATGATTGAACTATCCTTTACAAGGTACATGCCAAATGGAAGAAGAGACATTCAGACTTTTTCCAAGTGTAGAACCTCACACCTTGCAGATCCTTGATTCCTCCACATCCATATATTAAAATCCTTTTCACATTGCTATGCCATTCACACTACCCCTTCTGTCATCTGACCTCTGTGGGGGTCCCAGCTTCAAAAGATGTAACCCCTGTTGACCTCAGCAATAGCATCTCTGTAATTTGTACATTAACGGATGATATTCCATAGTGTAATAATAAATTATACACCCTTGCCGTGACAAGTGTAGCCTAACATGTCATGTACATGAACATTCATAATGAATTAAATTATTAAAAATAATCTGGATGTGGATATATCAGATTTTACAAATATATTACATTAGTATCGCTTGCTAGAAATTTTAAATGGCATTAAAGTATTAAATCTTTCCATAGGGATCCAAAACATTTTAAGGTGGCCCTATCAACCACATACAAATAACAAAAAAAGTATTTCATAAAGAAAAAATATTTATGAAATACTCACATTGACTGTGTTGGAATTTCACTGAAATGCCGGTCCAGTCGAGGCATATACTGAGACAAAGTAGGGACTACTTTGTCTCAGTATGTTTCCTCTGCGTGACAAAATGTGGATCTATATTTTGTCAAGCTTGACATTTCCCACCAGTGGTGGCTGTAGGGGGAAAAAAGCTCTTTAAGAGACCTCAATGCTGTACTTTTGCACATGCACCATGATCTGAAGAGAATGGCGGAGCCCACAAGGGACAGGTTTAGGTAAGTATAACCTACCTTCCCCTGCTTCCCGTGGTCACCCAGTGGCGATACCACCATTGGTGACAGAGCCACTTTAACATTTAATGGTGAACTGTGACTTTCCGGTAGTTTTTATTTTCTTTCTTACCACTATATATGTGTTTGTGAGGTGTGAAAAAAATAAAATGAAATATAGATATCCACACTTTTCTGTCCTGGAACTCATTGCCTCAATCTTGGATCACTGTCACTCTATAATCCCTGTCCTTGACATTGAACATGGTATGTGGATCAGAACAATGTCTTGTTGTTTTTTCCTCCCCTCAATGAGAGCTGTGCCTGGATTAAACTGGATTGTGATATAGTTTGCTAAATCTGTAAAATACATTTAAAATAGAAACAAAGCATCACATGATAAAAAGGTTGACATGTGTTAGAGTAATTTTCAATGTTTTATTCAATGGTGTAATATCCAGAAAAGTGACAGTCCCTCTTTAACTGAACTAAAACGGAAATTAGCCAGGAAAAGAACATTAAGGTATTTTAAAAAAAATTCTATGTCACCAATGGGTTAAGCTCCCCCCTCTCAATTGATAGGACAGGAATAATAAACTTTGAATTAACATATAAAGGACTCTCCTACCCAATACCAGCAGTCAAGTTTTCAAAAAAAACTGAATGGGAGGAACTTTAGATGCCAACATTAATATTAGCCAGGAAAAGAAAGTTACTGTAGGTATATTTCAAATTGTCTGTTTTCCTGGCTAATCCATGTTAGCATCAGTAATGGGACTTCCAAAGCGAATTGGGCGGGAATTGATCGAACAAAACAGAATGCTGCTAACTTAAGTTTATTTGTGGAAAACTGCAGAAGTTAGAACACTTTCCCTAAAAGATTGTGAAGCTTGACTTGATACATTTAGGCGGTAGTGTCTTACAAATGTTTTGGATGAAGACCAAGTTGCAGCCCTACATATTTCTTCAGTAGATGTGTCTGCCAAAAATGCCCAAAATTCAGAGACAGCCCTGGCTGAATGAGCCTTAATCCCTTCAGGAATAACTTTTTCCTAAAACTTTGTATACTTTCTGAATGGCAGATGTTATCCATCTTTGTGTTGTTGGAATTGATCCCGGCATACCTCTCCTATAACCAAACGGAATTACAAAGAGTTTTTCTAATATTCTTGGTTCTCTCAAGGTAGGCCTTTAGGGCTCTTACTACATCATGTTTATGCCAATAGGTCTAATCCTCTAATGATGGATTTGGGGAAAAAAGTAGGTAGAATTATTTCATGATTTAGGTGAAATCTTGAGACTTCCTTTGGCAAGAATTCCAGGATTGTTACCGCCTTTTCTCCCAGGAATTGAGTAACAGGAGATTCAGAAGATAAAGCCCATAGCTCCAAAGCTCTGCGAGCTGACATGATGGCAATCAAGAAAATGCATTTCAATTATATATCCCATGTGGATGAGGATTCTATAGGTTCAAATGGAGGGCTTGCAATACTGTGAAGAACTCTGGGTAGATCCCACGCGGGAATTCAATTCTTTATTGGGGGTCTGATACGCATTACACCCCTTATGAAATGCTTGATAGTAGGATCCAGAGCCAATTGTCTATTAGATATAGCTGAAAAGGACGATATTTGAACTTTTAGGGAGCTCAGGCTTAGACCTTTCTCCAGGACTTTCTGCAAAAACCCCAGCAGATCTGGAAGGTTAATCGAACTTGTATTTTTCCCCATAAATCTTGCCCAATCTTAGTAGGCTTTCCAAATTGTATAGTATAAATTAGAAGTATTGCTATTTCTTGATTTTAGAATAGTTTTCAGCTCTATCATACAGACCTCTTGACTTTAGGATGTTCTTTTCAATTTCCAGGACCTTAATTGAAATTGAGCAGGATTGTCGTGATGGATAGAGAGTGCATCTTGCCCCTTCGCTCTTGGAACAAATCTCCTGGAAAAGAAGATAGGAAGTTGCTTGTTTTTAAAAGTTGCCATGGGTCTATTACTGGCTTTCCCTGTTTCTTGGAATATCTTTGTGTCTAGTTTCCATTCTCCTGAGTCTATATAATTCCTGTTCAGATAGTCTGCCACTTTGTTTTCTTTTCCTGGAAGGTAGATAGCTGGGAGACCTTCTAAATTTTGCTGAGCCCAGAAGATAATGGGTTTTGTTTCTTGAATTAACTTCTTGCTTTTGGTTCTGCCTTGGTGATTTATATATGCCATAGTTGTTATTTATTTATTTATAAAATATTTTACCATGAAAGACACATTGAGACTTCTCTCGTTTTCAAGTATGTCCTGGGTCCACAAATCATGTTGTCCACTTGTACTTTTACCCATTTGTTCTTCAGGAAAGTCTTGAAAGCAGTCAAGGCTCGATATACTGCTCTTATTTCCAGGATGTTCGACTGTAAGTTCCAGTTGTTTAATGGCCAAACTCCTCGTGTTAGGTGGTCTATCAATTGAGCACCCCAACCTTTCCCACTGGCATCCGTTGTCACCATTTCTCATTCTTGGTACTCCAGTGCGCCTTTGTTCAGTAATCTTGATATTTTGTCTGCGGACAATGATATCCAATATGTCCTCGAGTTGATCCATGCTCCTAGGAAGTTTATATCTTGGAATAGATCTAATTGGCTGTTGTTGAAGTTCAGGATCGATCTGAATTCCTATAAGGTCTGTATCACCATGTCTTTGTGTTGTAATAAAAAAGTAGTGGGCCTATTGTTTACCACCAGAATATCGTTCAAATAACGGAATATTTTTAATCCTTTTTCTCTCAGGATTGCTATGATATTGATCAGGATTTTTGAAAATGTCCTGAGTGCTGTGGTAAGACCGAATGGCATACCTTGCAACTGACAATGGTTGTTGAATGTCCAGAACCTCAGATATTTTCCGTGTTTGGGTGCGATTGTTATATGGTAGTAGGCATCTACTGAATTTAGCCAATCTGATGTATGCAGTTGTGGAATTATTGATTGAAAGCTTTCCATCTTGAATGTTCTCTTATTTAGGAATGTATTTAGGTTGCTTAGATCCAGTATCCATCTCCATTTTCCTGATGGTTTCGGAGCGAGAAAACTGTGGAGTAATTCCCTGTAAATTCTTCCGTGTAGGGTACTTGACAAATAACCTTCTGATGTATAAGCTTCTTTATGCATTCTTTCAGTTGTAATTCTTTATTAACTGATATTGATGACGTGATCATGGTAAGCTTTGGAGCTTTTTTGAATTCTAGCAAGGACCCTCTTTCTATAGTTCATACGAAAGAGGGGCTTCCTTACTGTCTCAAATATAATAAGATGCTGTAATTCATGTGTATATTGAGGATGAGAATAGAGATGATTTCTTTAATTACTATTTACTAAGATAGTAATCTTAACCCAAGGAGTCCCAATCTGCTTGGGCTGTATCTGGGTTCTTCCTTAGGGAGAGAAGCTGAACTCCCTAGAGGGCCACATTGAGAAACGTATTTCAGATGAAGCTGGAGGACAGGGAAAAAACACTGCTGGTATTGGGGAGGAGGGTCCTTTATATATGTTAATTCAAAGTTTATTATCCCTGTCCTATCAGCTGAGAGGGAGGCACATAACCCATTAGTGATGCTGACATGGATTAGCCAGGAAAATCATATGTGACTTAAGCTCTGGATGTTAAAATCTTTTATTTCTCATGCAATCACACACTTTCCAATAATTAAAACAGACATTCTAAAAATAATGGTACTAGTGGCAGATGAGATGAGAGGAGAGGATGAGACCTGTGAAAGGAGAGGAGGGGAAGAGGACACTGTGAAGGAATATGAGGTGAGGATGAAGACTGTGAAGGAAGAGAGTGGAGGCTGCAATAAATGATAGAACAGTGGAGGCTGCAATAAATGATGAGGGAAGAGTGGCGACGGTAATAAAAGATAGGATGATGAAAGATGAGAGATGTTGATGAAATTTCAATCTTTTTTAAACTAATATGTAACAACAGATTTACTGAAATAATAACATTCTTGAGAATTTGACTTTACTTTTTTTTAAATTTGCAATGGTTTACTGTTTTTGGAGCTTGATTGGGTAGCATTTAACATGTCACTGTCATTACTGCTATACAGGCAACCACTATTTATAGCTGTCCTAATGGACAAAATAAAGCTCTTTATTATTTACTATATGAAATGTGTTGCTTCCGCCTTGTCTCGTGGTAGCGAGGACTCTTCTCATTTAGACATGCTTACTTCAATGTATAAGAGAGAGCCTAGCCTAAAACCTCATGGGTCACCCTGTTGAAATAATACATATTGCAAACCTTCCTCTGGAGTAAGTTTATATTAATGTTCACCCACAACTCATAGCTTCAGTGGGTTTTGTTCTAACACGGTATCTTTTAAAATTATCATGGAATTCCAAGCCATCTGTACGCACAACATCAAAATGTGTCCAATAGTGGGTAAGATGGTGATTTTCATGATGTGATTGAACCTCTTTACTGATCCCAACTGGAGACAAATGTTTGAAACACTCTGGCTTCATATGTCATTCTCTGACAAGAGAAGGGAGCAATGATTTAACAATAATTTAAAAATAAACAAAAAAAACCCTTCAATGGAGTAGGCTTCTAAATGGTTTCATAACCGAGCAACATCTACCTTCTACATTCATACAAGACTACAGTTAGGAAAGTCATTTGTTTGAGACCAACCTGTTATGTCAGTTATACTGAAGATGTCTTATGTTTTCTTCTAAGTCCTTATCAGCCAATGGTATAATTTTTAGAAAACCAAGTTAAAGGTCTTCCCAGCAGCCAAGATTTCATAAATTGTACACAGTGTTATTTGTTGAACTTAATGAAAGTTAAAATGTATCTTGCGGCAAAGCTGTTATTGTGTTTTTATAATTCCTGGATGATTGACTTTTATTTTACTAATACCTTTCATCACAAGCTCCTAGAATCAAGGCAAGTGCACTGTTAGTGTCATCCTTTTGTTGGGCCCTTTTTACATATATTTTTTTTTCTTGATTCACATGACAGGAAAATTAGGTTGTGATCTTTTTGCCTGCTCTACGGTGTGTGATATTGTTTGCCTGTCTCTTATGAACGTAATAAATAAGACAGCATAATGTGGCAGGTCCCTCATTGCCATTCATACAATGAATACCCTTTGGAATAATACACTGTATTCTTTCCATAAGTCTATGTGTATATATGTGATCCATTAAATGTTCAGTACATGTAAAATATTGAGCTGAAAGTTAACTGTTTGACTGTTGAAACAGATTTTTCTATCTTCCTGGAATGGCAATATATATATGCGCAACAATGTGGAATATATTGAATGGTGATATCTCTGTATGAGAAATTTACAAGTCTGATATACAGTTTAATCTGTCCTAAGTCTTCAGATAACTGACTGTCGAGGAGGAAGTCCAGTCTATGGCTAGTCAAATTACTACCACCGCTGGTTTTATTTTGCTATGGAGTATACGGGTGTGAGTGACTGTGACATGAAGCAAATATTCAGCATGGAACCAGTAAGTGACAAGAAGGGAGCACTTTTATACGTCATTCCTTGGTGGAAACGTATTTGATCAGCAGGATTCAGAGGGTGGTGTGAAGGGATCCAAGTTTGGTACAGGTGAGTGACTAATAAATAGTTGGTGGAACATCATCTTCTGAAGTACCTATTGAAGATATGGAATGATACAACACTGTAACAAATGTAATGAGCTAATTAAACATTAATACATTCACTTTAAAATGTCATTCAAGTGACTCCTCAAACAGGAAAAACCTTTAGTGTGACACCGACACGTTGGCTTTGTTACCATCATGATGGCATCGGAGCAGAGTAAAATCAGTCATTCCTAGGGCTAGAAACGTCGGCTAGAGTGTTTCAATTGCAAACACTGTGCTGTGGTTGCTGTGCTTGGGAAAGCAGAAGGACTGCCTGTGGGAGGTCTTTTCTGCTCTCCCTTCTTAGTCAGATCATTGACAAAGTATTTTCCGAAAATGTAACCGAGAAGTGGAAGAAAGATCTATATTTAAACAGGTTTTACTCCCATTCTATACATTTACTAGCAAATCTGGTAGCACAATGTATAAATTACATTTCATGCTCTTTCAGAAGAGCACAAATAGTTTGACCGATTCCCTTTAACGCATCCTCTTGAGAGTGGGCATTATCTAGAGCACTACTGAGCACTCTCATGTATGTCAAATTGCACTGGAGTAGCTTAAAGCTGTTTGAAGCACCTTTAATAATTCTGTCTTGTGGTTATTTGGGGCTTTTCTCCAATATCTTAAAGGACCACTATAGACACCCAGACCACTTCAGCTTAGTGAAGTGGTCTGGGTGCCAGGTCCAGCTAGGTTTAACCCTTTTTGCTGTAAACATAGCAGTTTCAGAGAAACTGCTATGTTTACTTTAGGGTTAATCCAGCCTCTAGTGGCTGTCTCATTGACAGCCACTAGAGACGCTTCCGCGCTTCTCACTGTAATTTTCACAGTGAGAAGACGCCAGCGTCCATAGGAAAGCATTGATAATGCTTTCCTATGAGACTGGCTAAATGCGCGCGCAGCTCTTGCCACGCATGCGCATTCAGCCGATGACGGAAGAAGAGGGAGGAGAGTCCCAGCACCGAGGGAGCCTGGCGCTGAAAAAAAGGTAAGGGATCAACCCCTTCCTCCCCCTTCAGCGCCACGGGAGTGGGACCCTGTGGGTGGGGGCACCCTCAGGGCACTATAGTGCCAGGAAAACAAGTATGTTTTCCTGGCACTATAATGGTCCTTTAAGAAGAAAAAAAACAGGGCAGTGTGCCTCTTCAATATAGATATCCTGCCTTCATTACTGTAGAAAAAAACCTTGAAAAGTCTGCAAATTGTATCAGATCAAACTACTTTCTAATGATTTTTTTAACTTGCCTTTTTTATGGTGGCTATTGAACAATATTTAATATAACGTCAGCCTGCTCATCGCGTGCCACATTAAGTTCCATTAGCGCTGTTGTAATTTATGTTGTTCGAAAGTGTAGAAATGAAAACATGTTCACAGATCTGCTCAGGTTGTGCACCATCAGTCTGAATTTCCCCTGTAAACAATCCTTTATTTATATTACTGTGTGTGATGAGAGTTGCATTAAAACCTCTAAAATAACAGTTTTTGAAAATCATATACATTTGACCACAACTGACAGATTATTCCATTAACAAGGATTTACAGTCCTTAACCACTTCACTGCCAAGCATTTTTTTGTTTAAAAAATCTAAAAATATTTAGTTCATCAACAGTGTCCTATATAGTGAAAAGTGCCATTGCTGCATTAAAAACATTCCGTTATGGACATTTTTTTTTTTTTTTAAATCCACAAGCAATTGCATAGAGGAGAGGAGACTCTCTTAATTGTTCAGTTCATGACCCACGCATTTTGTATGAATTCACGCATACCTTATCAAGATCTGAAGTGTGCAAACTGAGAACAGACCTAAAAGAGACCTTAATTATTAAAGTCTAAGCTGGCTGTATATTAACCCTGGATAAACCAGAGCCAAAATGTATTGCAACTTCACCCTCAGTAGCCAAAACTTTTATTAACCCTTAAACTACTGGGTCACACACATTTTTGCTATATGAAGTTAAATTCTCACACTGAGATACGAGTTTTTTAAAGCAATGTAATAAAACAATTTTACATTGAAAATAGAGGGTTTTATTTGTATTTATACTACTTATCATGCATATCCTTAAAACAATGAATAAACTGCGAAAATATACAGCTAGCTAGCTACCAAAACCAAACATACAGGTTGGAACAAAATTCAGAGTAGATTTAGACAAGTAAATAACTTATTTGCTAGTAGTTACTTTTTTGTTGCAGGTACATATTATAACGGAGTCTTGGGAGATTCATCATGAGTAATTTCACAAAGGAACAAGGAATTAGCCAGAGAAAACCATTTATTCAACTCATCATGTCTAATGAAGCTCATTTTCTTTAAATGGCTTCATCAATAATCAAAACTGTCGTTCTGGGGTACAGAAAATCCACAGATTATTGATAACTGATGCAGGCCTCACAGGAAGTTATCAGGCAGAAATTCAACTGCTAGAGCCTCAAACATTAAAGGAACACTAAAGGGATAGGAACACAAACATATTCCTGACCCTCTAGTGTTAAAATGACACTCTTGCCCCCTGAAATATAGTAAGATTTTACTTTTATTCCAGTCGTCTGCTGCTGGCTCTGCTGGTATCATCAGAAGTTTTTCTGGTAGCCAATCACAATGCTTCCCCATAGGATTGGCTGAGACTGTCAAGGAGGCAGATCAAGGGCAGAGCCAGCACAAGCCAAACACAATGCAGCCAATCAGCAGGTCCTCATAAAGGTGAATTGAATCAATGCATCTGTATGAGGAAAGTTCAGTGTTTGCCTGCAGAGCACCTCTAGTAGCCATCTGAGGAGTGGCCAGTGAAGTTATCACTAGGCTGTAATGTAAACCCTGCATTTTCTCTGAAAAGACAGTGTTTACAGCCAAAAGTATGAAGGGAATGATTATACACACCAGAACAAATGCAACAAGCTGTAGATGTTCAGGTGACTATAGTGTCATTGTAAGGAATGTTATGAACAAGTGAAAGAGCCCAACATGGAGAGGCGGCAAATGGAACTCATTTAAAGAAGTCATCTTCTGTACGTTGTCAAACATATCTCCATACGGTATCATTCATTGTATGTAATATGATTGAAATTGGCTCAGTAATAGAAAAGTTATCGACTCCTCTTTTTACTGCAGCTTCTTCTGCAGTAAATACTAGATGTCTTTTAAAGCCCGGTGTTCTTTTAAGCTCTGGATTTTGGCCCACCCTGTATAATTGTTTTAGATCAAAGAAAACTTTGATTATTTGTCTATCTACTCCTTTCTAAATTGTTTGCGCGCATGTTTCCGGAAGTAAATCACACCGGACACATTGCAGGTTTATGAAGAACTCCAGAGTGGCCTTTATTCCAGGGGGGGCAATTCCCTTTTAAAGCAGAAATACGTCATGTTCAGAGTCACAGTTAACATACAGTATACATTCATCAATTGGTTAACAGTCTAAGGGGTCTTGTCTAAACCCACCCTACTGGGCGTGACCCCAGCATCATCACATGACATTTCTTTGTATCCCAGCCCCATTCCAGCTCCATTTTACTACATGTGGCATGTTTCTATAGAGCTTCAGTTGCACAAAGGAAGTGGGGGAGGAGTTAGTAAAGGAAGCTGTTCCTTTAACACAGGAATTTGTTACACGAGGCTTGCTCGATGGGAAGGGAGGAGGCTAGCAGGATGGGAGGAATTTGCAGAGGAAATAGTGACTGAACACATTGTAGGGGGGGGGAGGGAATATGTACTCTAGCAGCCAGTTTTAACATAGTGAACACAGAATAAATAGACATTAGTAAATAGCCATTTTATTTTAATTCGTCTGTCCATAACATAATATCTAATATTTCCACAGGATTGTGAGCAAATAAACCAAAATTATACATAATATATCTAAAGTGAGGAGAAAACAATACATGTAAAAAATATATATTTATATCTTGCCAAACGAGGCTACTATGTGGCTGCAATAATTACTATCCAGGGTTATCTCCACCTCTAGTGGCTGACTACCAGACCGCCACTAGAGGGAATTCTTGCTTTGAAACGGTCCATTGGTCCGGTATCTGGCGCTGGACGTCCTCACGCTCTGCATGAGGATCTCCGGTGTCAGATTTTTCCCCATAGTAAAGCATTGAATAAAGAAATCTGATATGCGAGTATAATACCCACAAGAATAAATATAGTTCAATCTTTCTATTTCTACAGATTTAGAAAGTATTACTGCAGTTTGCCTTAAAGGAACACTCCAAGTACCATAACCACTACTATCCACTGGAGTGTCCTGACACCCGCTCAAGTAAGTACTCAAACCGTTTAATAACATTGGTCCCTCTGGACGTCAGAGCCACATTCAGCTTCTAAAGTAGTAAAAGCCAGGTGTCTTTTAAAGTCATGTGTTCTTTTAATCTCTGTATTGTATTGGGTGACATCAGAGCTCTCCCTGCTCTTGAAAGGCAATGAAGAATGAAAATAAGAACCTATTAAAGTGCAACATG